GAGAATTCTTTCGCAGTAAACATGGATCCTCTTATCAAACTTGTCTCTGGCTCACAGTAGTTGCTGTAAAACCTCTTCCACAATTTTCCCCATCATTTCTTACTGTACCAGTTTTTGAGATGCAGATGAATAGGATTTTTTCGTCAAGTTTTTGGCCCTAAATAATTGTGAATTTGCACTGTAATAAAAAATTACCCTTTGAAGGAATTTGCGAGTTACACAGTTTTGGTTTACTGTTGCTGAATACAGACCACCTGCTAATGGTGTACACAGCACTGCTGATTTGCATAAAGTCATTTAATGACTAAGTATTGCTTTTTACTGCTGGTGTGTTTTGACAGCATTGGGGGAGGATTATTTTCTTAAATATGCAAAGCATTACTCTGTGTTTAGTGTTGTTCAGAAATCAGCTGCCCTAGAGCATTGCTACTGTACTAATCTTAGCAGATTAGCCTCTAAATATTTCAGACTCTTAGGTAACAGCTCTTAGTAGTATTTGCCAAGTTCTCTTTGCTGTACCTGATGAGCTTTATTATTGAGGGCCCCAGGCTTCCGTGGTCTCAGCAGAACAGGGTTTGAGAGGAAATGTGAGTGTAAGGAGCAGTAAGGACAGCACAGACTCCATTTGCGTGCTGAGTTCCCTGCCTGGGAGCTATAGCTGTGACTCTTATGCACCACTGATTTAAGGGGTTTGGTGGCTCAGCAGAGATTATTTATACCATTTAGACCAGGCTTTCAAAAGAGGATGCGGGGACACGAGGGAGGTGCTGAGAGTGAGGCTGCAGTGAAGCTGCTTTGTTTGAAGGGAGCAGATCAGTGCTAGCAGCAGCACTCCTGAGCAGTGGGTCACAAACTTTGGCATGCTCAGTTCTGCTTCCTCGTGCAGGGTTATTGTGTTTACCTTGGGATCCCAGCACACTTCCCTTGGGATCCAGATTAAAAGCTGTAGGATGAATGCTGGCTTTGGTGTCTGTTCTTGGTACTGCTGTAAAGGCTCCTGCACTGGTGTCCATGAGAGTTTCTGCTGAAGTGCAACCAGTAACTTTATTTTCCATCCCTTGTCGCTTTGCTTTATGCAGTAGAATAGAAAAAGTGGCAAAGGGTGACTTTGCAGGAGGATGTGAGTTCTGACAGTGCTAAGCCACAGCAGATCTACTTCTCAGCCAACAATTGTGCTGAGCACAAGGCTTGCTTTGTCAGAGACAGCACAGCAGAAAATGCTTATAAATAGGTGTTTGAAATAGAAAATTGAGTGGTTCAAATATGAGTAAAAAACATATTTGGTTATGGCTTTTCTGTCACTGAGGGGTTTTTTCAATTTTTATTATGCTTTTTCATTTTCAAATGCAACCATTTATCCCATATCCATTGGTACCAATTCATAGAACACCCTAAGTTGACTGAAGCTGTTCCATGAAGTTCCTTCCATTAAGTAATGAAGTTCATTTTTTGAAAGGGTTTGGAGTGTTTGTTTTTTATTTCAGTAAGTGGTGTATGTAAGCTGTGCATAAATACTGTAATATGCTTTTGGAAGTGAACATGGAGGGAAAGCATCCTTTACCCTTTTTCATCATTGCAGGAAAGCAGAAACTTGAAGAAGTAATTTGCTTATTTCAGCAGATATGACGTAAGCTTTTGTGACTTTCAAACCCATTTTAAACCTCTACTACTGATGAATGTGCCCTGTAACTTCCCAGTGGTGCAGTAATCTGAGACATCAAATTTCACAGAGTTACAGGATCAGTGTCTCTGGGCATCCACAGATCCTAATCTCGACTACCAAAGGGAAAATCCATGTCTTTACCATTGGCTGTGTTAATCCCTTTCCATGCTCTGTTCATCAACACAAGGAAGGGGATTGCATAGAGAGAGTTTTCCCCAAAGAGCACCTCTGGTGGTTTGGCACCTCGGTGCACATCTGTGCAGCTGCTGTGCTGACCATGCAATGTAGCTTTGGTGTGAAGTTCAGTCTTCTCCAGTAGTTTGTATCATGAACTAATTCAGATACCCAATTCAGCCAAATGATCACAAGCAGTTTCACACATATGTTGTAGGCAATAGGTTTAGATGTGGTTAAATATCTTTGTCATCAAGAATTTCTCTCTGTCTATCTACTGTTTGACTTGAGTCCTTGCCTGGAAAAATTTGATTTTCAGTGGAAGTATATGGAATACTATTATTTTGATTTTTTTTTTCTTTAAAGGCAGAAATTCAAAAAGGAAATCATAAAGTTATTTGGCCATTATATCAAGCTGTTTTCTGTGGGATAGGCTCAAAATAGTGCAGTTCAGCAGAAAAAGTCACAAAAAGGAGATAATTTTACTTTTGGGTCAGATTGGAGCAGGCCCACACTAATGGCTAAATGGAAGCTAATCAAGCTAATAGGAGTTCTCCCTGAAATGATTGTTAGGGTATTTCCAGGGTGATGATTGGAAAGTATTTCAGGTGAAAATCAGTGCTGAAGCCTAAGTGGGTTATTCCTGATGTTTTTGTGGGCTTACAGTATTCCTGCAAAAGGAAGGGCTGTAAGCTCCCTGGGTTCCTGTCAGGCATTCCATTGCTTAGGACCAGTGACTTTGTCTGGGGTTGTTAAGCAGCTTCTCTGGAGCCCAGTAGAGGAGAGTGACCACAGGGCTACAGCAGGCAGGAGGAAAAGGAGCTACCTTCGTTTCCTTGCTGCCCTCTCACGTGTTTGTTAATAACAGCATTGATGAAATATCTGCAGTTCATAATGAGTTGGTCTAACTGAAATGTTTTCAGAAAAAACAAATCAAACTGTTAGTACTGATGAATGCTTTGTGACTCTGAAGAAATAGGAATGGCAGTGTGAGCTTCTGATGGCAGTTATTGTATTGGATGAATAATCTCTGTAATTGCTGCCTTTTGGTTTGTCATGCCTGAATCCTGCCTGGTAGGGGTGTGTGAAGAACTGTATCTGTCTGCAGTGACTGCACAAATACTTCTTGTAGTGCATCCCCTCGTAAACTTAGTGAGCATTTTCTCAAATTGTCAACCCAGCATCCCTTGTTTTTCCCATGGCAGCTGAGTGCAGGCAGAATGTCTGGGCTGTGCTGGATTAGCTTCGGTGCTGTTGTGCCCCCTTTGCTCTGCACTAGGGATTGCTCTCCTGTGCCCTTGCTTATTTGGAATTTTCACTTCACAGACATAACCATGTGCCTCGATTGGGGCATATGAGCCTGATTCAGAGAAGGATTTGTTCCATCTCACTTCTGTGATTCAGGCATTTGGGAGGAAAAGAAAGGAAAAGAAAGAATGTGATCCTTGAAGAAGATATCCTTCAAGATGTGTCAGACTTGAGTTTGGCTAGCAAGGAGTTAGGATCCTCAGGCTGAGCAAAACATCGTCCATCATCTCAAACAACAGCCTCTTTCTAGTCCAAAGGGACAGGTCTGTGGTTCTGCAGGCACTTGGAACCAAGTCCTGTTCTAGAGAAGGGAATGACAAACGTGGGCACCTCCTGCTTCAGGCAGACACCAAAGCTCAAGAAGCCCCTTTCTGTGGTACTGTCCTGGCCTTCTTGGTAAAAGGGATATGACAGGAGAATGTTGCTCTGGATTGAAAAAGCCATGCTTTGAGTTCCTACTAGTCTTATTTAATGATTTTTCTATCAAGAAGTATCATTTGCTATGTATAAAGCTTAAGGAGTTGTTAACTTTTTTGTAGATGTATATGCAAAGCAGACCGACTGCACTCCAAATTTTACAGGTTTAGGGCTGTATAGCATCTGTGACCTACCCAAGGGGCTTTACTAAATCCCTTTTCATGAGTAGGATCTTTGATGCTGCTGTACAATGCCATGTGCCCAACAGCCAAATGTTTTAGGGGTCTCAGTCCTCAGCTAGAAATGTCAAGATGCTCTCTAAGCTGGTATGTGGTGTCTCATCCCACATTTGGTTTGCTTTAAAGACAAGGCATTTGGGGATATTGAAAGCTCAGCTCAATGCAAGCAGACAGAAAGCTGATTTGGGGATGTTGGGAGGTTTTTTGGGAGGGTGGAGGGTAGTGTTGGCTGGCTCCTTCATAAAAACATGGAGTAATCTGAAATACAGAACCAGCCAAAACCACAAACTCTGATTTAGACCTACTTGGCTCTCCTGAATCATCATGAGTTCTGCACACTGAGTCAGCCAAGAGCTGGTTTTCTCTTCAGTATTGTGTAAACACAAGATGTTTCTCTGGGCTAAATATTATTAAGTTTAAAAGTCATGTTTATTTGTCCTGTATCAAAAATGATTAATACAGAAAGTTATCATCTGGGGAGATCTGAAAATTCTTTTACATTTTCTTGCTCAGCCCAGCTTTGAACACAGATCACTTTTAGGGTGCCCTGATTTTTTCATTTGGTTCTATAAGTGATAATTATTTGGGTCAAACTACTGACAAGGCTTCCTGTATTACCTTTGGAAATTGCAACTTCATTTAAAGTAATTAAGGAAAACCACAGGACTAATTCATAGTTGTACCATGATGTGGTGTGAATTCTTAAAATTCAAAGGGAAGATTGTGCAGCTGATGGGCACATTTTCAGGGCAAGCTGTAGATCTGGACACAGAGAGGGGTATGGAAACGTGGCCTGGGGGCTTAGTTAGCATGCTCTGTGCTGGCCAGGAGATTTCTCTCCTTGCAACTCTTCACAGTACGTGTGAGACATTGTTAACAAACCCTGGAAGGTTAACAATGCTGAAATGTGTGACTAATTGTGGGGGGATTTTCCTCATCTTGCTTTATTTACAAGTTCTAGCATGTAATACTGCCGAGAAAAAGGTTGTATGACCTTGGGAAAGTAAGAGTTATGGAAAAGGCAATTCTGAGGGTAGGAAATTCAAAAGCAAGCCCCACACCCCACAGCTGAGAACGTGCAGAGATGCAATACCAGCTCTGCAGCAGAATTATAACCCCCCTTCTCCCCAAACCAACAACAGCCATCAAAGACACGGAAAAGGTGACTGGTGTTTATCTTTTCTTCCCCCTTTCCATAGTGCGGCTCCATGACAGCATATCAGAAGAAGGATTCCATTACTTAGTCTTTGACTTGTAAGTATTTGTTTTGCATTTGTTTAGCATGTTGGGGATGGGCTGTTCAAACTTGGAGATGCAAGTGCAAGCTCATGAGATAAATGCCTGGTTCTGGTGTGATGAGCTGGACAAATAGATGGAAACAGCTGCAAGGACAGGAACGCAGTTGGTCGTTTGCATGTGCAAGAACTCATTTGGAAGTGTTGCTGTCAGGATTCCATTTATTCCATAAAAACTAGTAAAAACCCATTGGTGAAGTGGATTTTAACGTAAGGTGTAGTAGGTATGTAAGTAAAAATAATGTTCTACTTGCCAAAACAAAGTAAAGTTAGACTCAGAAAAAAAAATATTTGCTGCAAGCCACTTGTCTAAAGGAAAGATAAAAAAAGCATTTGGAACACTAATTTCTCTACAGAAAATCTCAAGTGCTGGATTAAAAAGGTAAGCCTGAGTTTAGAGAGAGAACAATTCTTTTAGTGTTTCATTCCTGATTGATGTCTTACTGCTTTATAATGTTTCATTTTGACACCACTCAGTATGTAAAGTGCCCAACATATAGAAAGGAAGTTTCCTGCTGATATTCTCTTTTGTTTCAGGAATTTAAATCCCATGAGTTGTTCATGTAACGACTGGGCCTGTGTGGAGCTTGTTTTTTCCAGATAAGGCCTTTTAGTGGAAGCAGGGATGGTGACAGCACGAACTGTGTGTCTCAGGCTCATAACTTGAAAAGAGAAACTGATTTCCTCGTTCTTCCCTGGCATGGGCAAACTTTTCCACTCACTTGAAAAGTTACTGCTTATGGTTTTGGATATGGCCAAACCTGAATGATAGGGATTGTATTGCAAAACTGACTTACTTAAGTAAAATTATCTCTTTAAACTGTAAGTTTTTCCAGAGCAGTTTTAACAGACAGCACACTCACCCACCTACCCAAAGAGCTTTCTTAGGCCCCCCTGTGGTTTTGCTGGTTAGAATGAGAATACATTGTTTCTCCAGAAATGGAATATAGCTCATTTCTGAGCATACAAACAGAAGTATTTGCATTCAGCATGGCTAAGTTAGAGCCTGAATCTTCCTGCACACAAGCGTGTTCAAGTTACGTTCTGCTTTACTTCCTGACTTAACTTTTTTTAAAGAAATCTCTAAAGACTTCTTCAGCACTAGATTTCAGACTAGAAATACACAAATATTAAAATAGTCTGTCTGCAGCGAAGGCATTTGGGATTCAGGAGTCAAATCCTAGCTGGGCTCAACAGAAGCTCGTATGTGGTTTGTGCCTGTCCCAGGTAAGTGCTGTGACTGTTGGCTTGGAAATGGCTCCAGGGCACAACACACATATTTGTTCTCTAACATGCACTGGGGTTTGTTTTGCTTTTTTTCCCCTTAAGGGCTACAAAGGAAATAATTCTATGTGGAATTGGTAAAAGCTTCTTAATGCAGAATATTTCTAAGAAGTGCATGTAAAATTCTTAGTTCTAGGGACAATATCCCTTTTAAAAACAGTGGTAATTTTTTTTTGTTATACTGAGGTACTGTGAGTAAGTGTGCCATACTATAATTGCAGTTAGTCCACGTCTGCCTTAAATTTAATATATAATGCCAGACTTATCTCAGGGAGTTATGGTTGTGATGTGAACTCGAACATTTGAACAAGTTCAGAATTGTAGATAACAGTATCTAATTCTTGATAGTAAGGGAGCAAATAGAAGCCTATGTTCAAGGTACCTATGTTCTGCAATAAAATGTTAATGCCTAACCCAAAGATACTGCCTTGGCAGAAAACTGGATTCCACAGGAAGTGTTCTGCCTTGGCTGGAACTTGCTCCGTTCCCATTCAGGACAAACAGAGGAGCAGCCTCAAACATTTATATAAAACTTCTATGTTTTGGCCGTGTGGTTTGAGGGTTTTGTAAAAATCACTTATTTTGAAAAAAAGAAAATGTCTAAATGGCAGAGGCAGTGACTTTGCTGACTGATAGTTGTTTCTGGAGAAGCAGCAGGTTGCATTATTGAGAAACTTTTGCCAAATTACTGGGAAATGGCTGTTCATTTTTCACATTCAGATGAAATCATTGCTTTAATGCTCATAGTATTATTTATGAGTGAAACTTCACGTTTTACAAACATGTGGTTACTGCCCTGTTGACAAGTACATAAGAGCTGCCATGATAAAAAAGTACTGTATGCACTTCTTGAGCACACAGGCCAAGAACCTGCTTTGCTTTATTTAGCTTTTATTCAGCAGGAGCCTGACTGTGGTGTAACACTGTCACTCCACCCACACATGCCATCATGTCATTTTCTTAATGATTTCTTTCAGACTGTGTGGGATTTGGTACGGCTGTTTCCTCAGAAATTTCTTTCAGACTTCATCCCACGTAAGAAACTGAAGGGGAAGACTGCCCTTTCTGTGGATAGGAAAAAACAATCATTGTTACTTTCTGGTTTGAATTTCCAATAATTTCTTTGGATTAAATGCCACAGAGATGTCTGCAGCCTGTTGCTTGACTTACATACCTCAGGCTGTGCTTTTATCTGGAGAAACAGTGTTGAATGTACTCTGTTATGGACGTGCTTTTGGGTGAACAGTTCTGCTGTCAGATGGGAAGGGGGGAGTCTCTGGAAATCCATGTGGAAAATGGGTATTGAACAATGAATTTCATGAATTTAATAATGGACTTCATGAAGTTTTTGCTCCCCTTCCCTATTGGTTAAGGCAGCTGCAGTCAGGATTTGCGTCTGTTGGACCATTTCAGTTGCTAAGCACGAATGAGACTGTCTTCAGTCTTAATGATGTTAGATGAGTTCAAATCCAATCAATTCTGTCAGTATTAATTGCTGTATCTGAATGGAAACAGCTGTAGCACTTGAAAACTCTCTTGTGCAAGTCAATGAGATTCTCTATTTTCAGTGTCTCTCGTTTTAATGCACTTGATGAGATGCAACAGTTGGTATGTTAAGAATCCTGGCCTTGCTTTTAGATTCTAAGTGCAGGGACCATACTGTGTAGAATAAACAGAAAATACAAAAAAAATAGCCTAATTGGGAAGATGGTGTTTGCCTCAGGTAAGTGCCTGGGCCTCTATTTCAGAAGTAGAAAGGCCACAGATGAATTTAATAATTCTATGTCCACTCTAAGATGCTTCCTCCCAGTTCCCTTATCAAGGCAATTGAAGTAAACGTAAGCTATGAGCCACGCCAATCTGATCATCATCAGAGGCTGGTTTAGCTGTCTGTGCTAAGGTGTGTGTTTCTTCTAATTATTCTCTTATATCTGCAATTGTAAACCAGCAGTTTTTCTCAAAGTGGTGTTGCCACCATTTTGCTCTTTTGGGAGAGCTGTTCCTAAGGTATCCTTCAGAGTGACAGAGCGTGGGAACTGCTGACTGCTTGTTTGGTTGTCACTGAAATTCACCTGCTCTGTTCCTGCTTTCATCTTTTCATCGTTTAACAATGGTTGTGAATACCAAGCAAATGTTTAGTGTCAGCAAGTAAGATTTCATATCCCCTTCCACCCTCCGTGCTGGAGAAGAACAAACATCAATTTGGTATTCTCTTCCACTGAAAGGCACTTTGATGACTGAAGCTTCTTTTTTTCTTTCTTTAGCTTGGATCAAAAGTAAGTGTTTTAGGAAAGAGTAAGATCAAAGGATGCTTTGTTTTTTCATTCATCACAAAGTGAGAATTATTCCTCTTTACCAGAACTGTGGCAGACAAATATATATGCAAAAAGGAGTTATGAAAGGCTGTCAAAATATGCATCAATCAAACATTTTGTGCTACAGCAACCAAAGCCAGTCTCTGGAAGGTAGAAGGCAAAAAGAGAATACAAATTAGGCAATGAGCTACTTTACCTCCTTTAGATTTTACTCCAGACTTTTGTACAAAATAGCATTCTGTTGCCTGAACATCTCTACGTTAAGAGTCAGTAAGACATGAACTCAGAAAAAGGATGGTGTAACCCAAATATAAATGAAATAATGAAAATCAAGTTCTTGAACTGGCCTTCTCCCGGAAAGGAGCAGGGCTGCTGGTTGAGCAGGGCATTTCTGTCATCATTTAATGTGGCTGAAAACTGGGCTCTTCAACCAAGTGTTAGCACAGCAGTTTGCAAGTGAATGTTACAGTTCTGAACATTGCCAGTATTCTCACCTTGAATTTTTTAATTCTAATAAACTTAACTGTATTCAATACTAATTGTGTTCACTGTAATATAGATTTTTAAGCATCTTGAAGTATCTTGTTGCGCACTCAAGCTTTTACGTTTGGGAATTTAATGGAAATGTAATGTGCTAATACTGGCATTCATAACTAGCAATGAAATACAAACATTGACCTTTCATCTAGGAATTATTTATGTAAGCACCTGAATATGTGAAGAATTGAATTTAGCTGTGTCAGTCTGTCAGCCTGTGCCATAGGAGAGAAATGTTACAGGAAGGGTCTCCCTGTGCTCTGAGTCCCCTCTGGTGACACAGGCTCACAAGTGTTATGAAAGTACTGAAAAGCTCATTAATCTTCATCTTAGAAGGATTGCTAGAAAACTTCTCCTGATTTTATCCCTGTATTTGCTCATAGGTATTGTATGCTCATGTATTATTGTACCAATATTATCCCTTACAACTCCCCTCCAGGGAGATCCAGGCTAATGCTCGTCTTCAGTATTGATTTTCATCCCTCCTAACCTTTGTTTTGCCCAGCTAAACTGGGTTTGCTTCTCTGAGGGGATCTCATGAGTGAGTGACTGGCTAGCCTGGTAGCAATTTTTCTCTTCATGCTGCACATTCAATTCCCTTTTCTGAGTTTGAGTGACCAGAACTGGTACAATATGGGGAGGGATTTTACATTGCTGTCATCCTACTCCAGATCAGTTCAAGATTGTGGCATCATCCTGCTCAGGGCTCATTCTGGACTGTGATCTTTGGGATAAAAACCACAGTTTTATTGTGTTTTAACTACTTTCTACCCTTAAACCATTGGTTGTACCATGAGCTCCTGAGTATGCAATGATGAACAGCCATTTCTGTTACTGGCCCCAGGATCATACAGTTCTTCCCTTGTATGTAACTTATTTTCAGTGGTGCTTTAACTAAGCTGTTCCTACTTTCTCCACAAAGATAAATGGAAATTTTCTAGGGAAAAATCTGCTGTTAAACTGATTAAGGTACCCTGTTTCTACTGATACTTCCCTTCCAATTCAGTAATGCTCTTTCTAGCCACAGCACAAAAAGCCAGCCCCTCTGGCACCTGGGTACAACTCTGTTGTGATTTGATCTACACTGAAAGACCCTTTTCCTTTTTTAGCATTGTTGTATTTTAGCATTTCTTACCTTTGCCTAATATTGCTGTTTTCAAGTTATCCTGAACTGTACTGAGCTTCAGCCACAATTTTCCTGGCTGGTCATTTCCTTTATCCTTGTGGTTTTATTTCTTTTTATTTTTTTATCCTTCCTTTTGACATCCATAACTGATGTCTGGCATCTTGCCCAAATCACTGCTGCCCTTGGCTTTTATTTGCTATTTATGATTCCACTTCCACCACATCCATTTTATTCATGGAATGATTTGGATGGACAAACCTTCCACTTTAGTTCCTGCACCTTGCTGCAAAACCTTTTGCATCTCTGTACAAATATTTCACTTACTCCTGTCTGACTTCTTCCTGTCAAGTTAATTTAAGGTGCACATTTTCACTTCTGAAATCTCTTTTTCCACATCTTGCTTTCTGTAACAGAGTCACTGGAGGTGAATTGTTTGAAGATATAGTTGCAAGAGAGTATTATAGTGAAGCAGATGCCAGGTAAGTAATTTGTTTTTCCAATGTTGCCTTTGATAATTCTAGGATAGTTACTTAAATAGATCCTGGTGTTTGGCATCAGTTTCCCAGTACAGTCTTTGAGACTAGGATTAGGAGTTTGTCAGTTTGAGCTCATGACCATGTGGTGGAGAACTCTTGAGTGGTCTTGGTGTCTTCTGATCTGAAAAAGCTGAAATTGGATCTCAATTTGTTAAAATTTTCCCCATTGTTTCCTCTGCAAATGGGCCATAACAGTTCAAGTGTCTCACCCATGAATTCTTGAATTTGCTAATCAAAGTTTGAAGCATAAGTTGATCTTAAAAGGATTTTACATTAAATATGATTTTTTTGTTCTTGGTCCAGAAGTGCTAATTTCTTTTCCAATTAGAAAATTTTTGTTGTGTTTCATCAATAAGCAATTATACAGTGTGTCTCATAGTCTGAGCTCAAATATGAAATCTCTGGCAATTTTCTGCAAGTGCTTGTTGAAAAACTTGAATAATTAGTTGACAATTATCATAATTTGCATGCATAAAGTATCAGGGCCACTCATCCCATGTTTGTTTTCATACAATAATAAATCTTAAATATTGTCATAAAATTAAGAAGCCTAAACATTGTGGTCAATTACTTTAAAGAAAATATGTTCTACCACCATGCTCTTCACATAAATTGATCTCTAAGTAAATTTAAAGAATCCTTACGCTTCAGTGTGTTTACAAACACACCCCCAGCAATACATATTTAGTACATGCAATTTTAAATTATGCCTTTACATTTAGAAATCAATGGAACATGACCAGAAAGAATTAAGTATTCCTTACAATAGTAGTAGGATAATAATGAACAGACAGGAAGTTACTCTGAATATTAGGAAGCTTCCACTTCCAGATTTTACTGCATCTGTAGGAATGGTAGAAAGAGTAATACTTTAGGCATTTAAATAAAGAACTGCACATAGCAAAACACCCTGTAGAAGAGAAAACAGCAGTAGGGTTTAGCTGGGGTGGAACAAGAGGAGCTGTGTTGAAAAATTTTTCAAATAATTTTTTCCTGCTGTGATTGAAGCAAATTTCCAATATTGATGCCAAAGGCCAGTATATGTTGTCCTTGTGTGTTTTTAAGATAGTTGGGAAGTAAAAGGAAAAATTGCAATGATGATTTCTTTTGTTCTAGAATTATGATATATTGGAAGGGGCTGTGCATATATATGTATATATATAACATATATATATACATTTTATTTTTCCAGTCAAAATTTGACCAAATAAGTGAAATATCTAGTTATGCTGCATCTCTGTATTTTGTATATTTATATCTATATATGTGTATATATATAGATATATCTGGTGTGTGTATGTGTGTATCCCTCTAGCACTAGTTGCTGTTCTCTGTGGATGCCTCTCCCAGGACTGTCACACTGGTCTGCTCCTGCAAGCCCTTGCTCACGCCAGTAGTCTGTACTCAGGCAAACCGTGCAGTGAGTTGTGAACTACTTGCCTAAGAAAGGGTTTTCAGGCTTGGGCTCCAGTTACTGATTATGACCATTCCTTCTGAATTCCATGGTCAAAAGGTTTTGGATGAGCAGCATCTTGACTGCTGTGTGTTACTTATTATCACTCGCCTGTGCCACAACGGTATGTTTAAAAGAAAATGCTGAGCTCTTGTGGTGCCAAAAAACCATCAGAAAAAGTTCCAGTACTCTAAAATATTAATATTTTAGTTGTGCTTTTTGGCATCGTGGACTAGCCAAAACTTGCAAACCTGGGTATGGGAAAATAGGTGCTAGTTCAGTTACTGAAAGCACCAAATTCAAACATTTGTCTTAATTTTTTAATGTGGATTTTCACTCCCCACATGACTCCTAACTAAACCGGAGCTGGACACTATTTTAAATGAAAATGCATGCCACCTTTTTGAATGACTTGGCTTTATTCTACTAATCGTTTTAAAGAAACCGTTCAATTCAAAATGAAAAGTGTTTTGCTTTTCCTTAGCTTTTGACTTCTTTTGTTTCATTTGTTTTCTGTATATCATCTCATTTCTGACCATTTTCTTGTTCCAGCCCTTGTTGTAATGTTAACTTCACCACCACAAATTAAGAAAACCAAAACATGCCGCTAATTGTTTTACTGCCTCCACTTTATTTTTCCTGGCAGTTTTTGGAAACTGGAAAACGCTTCCATACTGCTGAGTGAAAATACAGTCTGATGATTCTGTCTCATACGTGTCATATGTTCCGTGCTAAATGTCTTTTTTGGTTTGGTTTTGGTTTTTTGTTTTTTGGATGTGTTGGAGCTGGAACGATCTCAGCAATATTGTTGTTCCAGTTCAAACAGCAATCAAGACTTGTCAAGAGGTGTAAAATTGTTTTTGTTCTTTAACTTTTTCTTTTAAGTTCTATTTTATTTTGTATTTAATGTGATTATGTGCCTTTAAAATGTTCTCCCTTCCATTCTGCCCTTGTATCTTTGCAGTCATTGTATACAGCAGATTCTAGAAAGTGTTAATCATTGTCATCTAAATGGCATAGTTCACAGAGACCTGAAGGTCAGTATCTGGTGCCCATCAATTGGATATAAGAATTCCGGGGTTTTCTTTCCGCTGGGTAGGGGCAGAGGGTGGGATGTCTGCGATGTTCCCTTGCCCATCCTATTCACCCTCCCAACAGCCGGTCCAACCATAATGCATGACGCCTCTTTCCAGTTTGCAAGTCTACAGGCCTAATATACATCATGGCAAGAGGGGGAACGATTGCCCAAAGCCTGTTTTTTTTGCCATGGCGCTGGATTGTGCCCGCGCTGTGCCAGCTGCCGTGTGTGGGGCTGTCGGTGTGTGGCTGTGCGGGCGCAGGAGGTGACCCCTGCCTGTGATGTATGTCAGCTTGCAGATGTGACCGCCGCGGCTCAACTGCGCTGCTGCGCTCGGCTGTGACGAGCCCTCAGGCGAGTGCCGCTAATTGCCGGCTCAATCAGGCGGCTAGGGGCTAATTATTGACCTGGAGTACCTGGCTTGGAGTCTACCTCCATGGTCGCTGCTATTTCTAACCATTTCTACAATTCTCTAATGCCTCTGCGAAGGCTCTGAGTAAGCGAGAAGGAAAAAGCCCAGACGATGGCAAATTTTTAATACGACCTCGAATTAGTGGCAAAATTCCTTCCTTTTCAAAATCACCGTCACAAAAGACGTCGGTGTTGATTTCCGAGCAAAGCCGAGGCAGCCGCCCCTCCGCCTGTCTCTGAGGGCCGCCCCGCGGAGCCTGAGGCCGTCGTGCTCCGAGCGGGGCGGCGCGGGCAGGGCAGGCCGGGCCGGGAGCACAGCCGCGCCCGGCCGCGCCCTCGGCCGCCGCCCCGCCGCCTGCCGCTGGAACTAACGGGCGCCCATGGTGTTTGCATGCAGTCATTGCATTCAGCAGATCCTGGAGGCCGTGCTGCACTGCCATCAGATGGGCGTGGTCCATCGCGACCTCAAGGTGAGTGCTGCTGCCCCGCCGCCCTCCCGGAGCAGCATCCCTGCCCCACAGGGCCGCCAGCAGCCGAAATGTAAATGCTTCCCTCTTTTTGTTTTTCCCCTTGGTTCGTTTGTTTTTAACTTGGCTTCGCCTACATGTGGGAGCAAGCTCGTGCTCACCAGAGGGAATCTGCTCGAGGCTGGCTGTCCAGCACCTGGCAGTACAGGGAGAACAAGAGGTGCTTTTCAAGCGCTGTGTGTATTTGTTGAATACGTGGTCTTCCTCTGTCATCCAGAGCTTTTGGGACAGGGCATGAGGGCAACTTCCCATCTCTCATCAGCAGAATCTGCAGTGCTTTTGGGAAGCACAGAAGCCTTTGCATGCTGTGCATTTTGTAGTGACAGAAGGCCGGCTGCTCTGGGATCACTGGCACACAGACCCCTCTCTCCTGCAGATGATGGCTGCTCAACAAAACATCTTTAAAAACCAGCAATTTCTACAGTGTTCTCACCACACTCACCTGAGGAGTCCAGTTCCTTCCAGATGAGCTTTAACATTGGGATATAAACCTTTCCCAAAGAAAACTCTGTGCTGGGAGAGCATTTCCTCTTTCTTAACTGTGTACGTATCCAAATGGCTGGAGGCATCTACTGGAGGAATGCTCTCTGCCTTTAAGCTATGTTGGCAAGGAAAGAAGGAAGTCTAGATAATTTTCTTTTACTGTGAGGCTCCAAGAGAGAAGGCTGTCCCAGAACTCATAGTAAGCTTGCCTTTTGGGAACTTGAGCTTCACAGTCTGTGAGGAAAACAAGATGGTTCAGTTTGAAATAAAATGGAAATCTGAGCTATCAGATCCTTCGTGAGGCAGAGAAAAAATGGTGCATACACTAAGGCAGCAAAACATGCTAATCCCTTGTGGCATGGATTCTTGGGCTTGAGGTTTTTTTCTGAATGAGTTCTGAGGAGCAGAAATTTCCTCCTAGGATAAGAGTTTCTAGTGGTTATAATGAATAATAATGTTGGAATCAGAATGCTGTCACCTTTCTTGGCAACTTTCATTCCCAAACAAACTGTTCTTGTCTGACTTTATAAGGTCCATGTTGTTGTCTTAAGGGAACACAAAGGGGTTTTGCCCCAAAAGCTCAGAGAGCAGGACGAGTTTCCAAGATGCAGACCCCAAATTTTTTACTCATTTTGCACTTCTGGATTTTCCTTTATCACATTTGTACAACAGGAGACTGACAAATCTCTGTCCCAACTAAATCTTGCATGGCAGCTGGGTAACGTGGAATGAGTTTAAAGGGAACGATGTCAAATTTGTCCAGCTGCTTCAGTGGTTCCTGTGCACACTGTACATGCAGTCCTATGCTTCTAGCATCAAAAGGAGTTTAAAAAGCCAGGACTGTAGCTATGCAAGCTGTTGGAATAAGGCATGCTTTCTATTACTTGTCATACGTTAACACAAAACAACTTTTGCTTTGGGAACGCATTAAATCCAGCTGTTGCCTGCTCCAGACCACGTGTGGATTTCTTATTCTGGCAAATCCAGGATGAATCGAAAAAACAGTGTGAGAAAAAGTGATTCTGCCAAGCTGTAGTGCCCAGTTTCATTTGGGAAAGTGAAAACTTGAGGAAGCAGAAAACCATCCTTCTTCAGTTACAGCTTTGTGGCAAAAGCCAAAAAACCCAAAGAATTAAATGAAAGACTGGTGAAATCCAAGCAGAATACCATGTGCTGAAAAGATGTCAGGATCAGAACAGCAAGATGGGGAAGGCGCTTATGGGCTGCCATGGATCCTTAAATTGCAAAACTTGATGGATTTTTTTCCAGTCACACAGTCCACAACATGATGGCATGCTTGGGGGTGGGGAGATTTTGGATGATGCTGTTTTATTTAACTTTCCTTGTAGTCTGATTCAGTAGCAAACAGAGAGGAGCTTTTGCAGCCTCTTATGACCTGCAGAAGTGCTTGTTGCTGCTCTGTTTGTAATCACTGGCCGAAGTCAGAATGGTGGTGGATCCTAGAACCAGAAAAAAATGAACTTAGCTTTACCAGCTAGTAAAAATGCACTTCCAGGTAGGAATTCCAGTTCTTGTCAGGCCGTAGCCTTCCTGCTTTTGTGAAACTTCTGTGATTTTGTGGTTAAGACCCTCTTACCTTCCACCAAAGAGAGGCTGCTTTAGAGGTGTATTCAAGGAAAAATACACAGAGCCTTAAATACTTGCTATCTTAAGGATTAAAGGCCTTTGGAAAAGCATGGCATAAATCATGTTAATTGATTTGTAAGTAATTTTAGCAGTTACCAAGTGCCATTGTGCATGCTTGGCTGCCGCCCATCGCCAGGCCAAGGTGACACCACCGAATCCGGGAGCGAGTCCTGCACAGTGCCATTAATGTTTCCCAAGTAATTGCACTCATTCCCAGTTAATGCATGGTAATCACCCACGTGCCTCTGGCCAGCCTCAAACGGCTGCTGCATGTCGGTTAAGCACACAGTCCCACTTGGCGTGGCCCAAAAGGCTGTTGTCTTTGGCATGGGAGTAAGTCAGGAATCCTGGTGGAACATACTCATCTGTTAAAGTGGTACTTCTGCAGAGAAGAGACATGCAACAAAATAAAAAAACAATCCCAAGAGGAAAACATAAAAAGCCAGCAAAAAACCAAACCAGCATCAGAAAACACAAAACTAGTGTTTTGAACAAAGTCACTTTTTGGGGGAGCGGTATGTCCGCCGTGGGGTAGTGCTTGTATTTCTTCCAAAAGGATGAGGCTTTTCGCTGCTTTTGGCTTGCCTGAAGGTCACAACCAAATAGGATCATCCATTGCTTTAAGAGGTTTATACAAGAACAGCATTCCAGGAATCAATTACTGTGAACCTCTCTCGCTCTGAGAGGAAGCCTTGCAGAACTATGTGACCGTGTGTTGAAATTAGTGTTGTTAAATGGCAAGCAGTGTGACATTGCATTGATTAAACTGGAGAAGAGTCCTCAGCTATGCACTCAGTCTTTCACAGAATGTAGTTGGAGTGGTTACTGACAATTTAAGTGAATGTAAAGATTGTCTTTTTTTCTGAGGGCTCTCCATCCCAATTTTTAAAATTGTGAAAATAGAAAATTCATCAAGTAACTATTGATGAAATTTTTTAAATATTTTCTAGTCTATGACATAGCAACAAAGGGATGAGTGAGAGAATAGTGTTGGTAAATGGCTGAGAAAATGTTCCTTTGGTGAGAGGGGAAAAAACCACCTTTAGACTAAAGAGTTTGTCAGGGCCCGTTGTGTTGTTAATTAATAGAAGTATCACTGTGACTGAGGTCTTACTTTGGCTCAAGCATATTTTGCTGGATACCTGACATGTATTAAAGATAGGCTTTGCTGAAAGAGGCTTATGATCTTAATTATTTCCAGCCTCAGTACATGCAGGGGATTAACTGCCATCACATAAATAGTCCCTTGGAAGTGATACGATTGCTCCTGGGTTGAACCTGGAATACGCATTGAGGAGTTTGCAGGATTGGGGCCCCAGCACCAGCCTGGCTATAGTGAAGTCCCTTGTCACAGACCACTGCAGAAATTTCTTCTGAGGAGTCACAGCAATACCTGTGAAAGTGAGGTTTTGTTGTTCTGTAAATGTAGAACAAAACCTTCGTTAAAAACCATGGGGATTGGAAAGACAGATGTGGCAAAAAAATCACATCAGTGATTGAGGATCACAGTTCTCTGAAATAATCTGTTGATTTCTACAGTACTTTTTTAGTTGTATTTTTTAAGCAAACATTCATACAATAAAGTTGTCTTTGGGCAATTTACATGTGATGTATTTGCTAACTGGAGTTAAAAGGATCCATTATGAATAGTAGAATGAACACAATGGTTGTGTTCAAATCCTTTACCTTTAATTGTGTAAGTGTACCATAGCATTTCGTTTCAGATGTGACCAACATACCCTACAAAACAAAAGCAAGGTGGGAACTTTCACTAACTGACGTGGTTATTTGTGAAGGTTCTCTGCAGGCTCAAACGTGGGTGTGCTGGTTTTGCTGAAAGATCTGCAATGTAAATACACCTGCCCTCTAAATACAATCACAGGGCTGTTATTGTTGGGATGTCATGCAAAACATTCTGTTTGACAGTTCTAGATGCCTGATCCTGCAAACTCCATGGGCTAGACTAGTCATCAATGAGTCCCTGTCCTTTGGGAGTCTGCTGCTCCATTTTTCCAGTAATGAGCTCTTGGGAATCTCTGACCTGCCTTGTCACACCAGCAGGTGTCACAGCTCCATATTCCCACTCTGGCTTTCTTCTTCACACTGTCCTCAGTCTTGCTAAGAACTCGTGAAGGCTGGTTACAGGCCTGGTGGTTCTTTCCAGATAGGAATGGGAAGTGCAAGTTTTGCAATTTCATGGAAAAAACTCCTGGGTTTCTTGTCTTTTTCACTCCTCTAAATATTTGTTCTTTTCCAGAGTACTGTCTAAGATGTATTTACTTATCTTTTTGTTTCAATTGTTTTCTCTCTCTGAATAAAGCCTGAGAACTTACTTCTAGCTAGCAAATCCAAGGGAGCAGCAGTCAAACTGGCAGACTTTGGATTGGCTATAGAAGTCCAGGGAGAACAACAGGCTTGGTTTGGTAAGTAAATACCATTTTTACCTCACCATTATTCAGCATAGTGGTTCAGCTTCCCCAACTGCCCCACTCTCACCCCAGAGTGAAACATGCAGCTCTGTGACTCTTTGACCCTGGAAAACCTGGGTTTCCTGATTCCTAGCTTGTGCTACCTTCCATCAGCCTGTAAATTTCACTGAGGTGCACACAACCCCTTTTCTCCCACTTTCTGCTGAGTAACTAAAGGCAGAAAATACGGGTGTAGAACCTGGGAGGGAGACTGGTGGTTTCCCCTCAGGTAACATGAATAAGGCAGTAGGGTAATACTGCTGAGTGTACCCGCCCAGTCATCAGAACATGTTGTCTGAACAGGTCTCTGCCAGCTGGCAACACCTGAAAAATTGATTCTGAAGCACTTTGGAATGTGACTTCAATGAAAGGGGAAATAGGAGGGATTGAGCACCTGAGGCTGTAGGCAGACACTAATTACAGATTACTTGTTACAGTTAATAGATGCCTCAAGGAGAGTGTGGCAAATGTTTAATACTGGTAATTTTAAACAATAATGCACGTACAATTGTGATGCACGTGGCTCACGTACCACCTTCTTTGAACAGATGTGAAGCATGGGGAAAAATTTATTATAAATCCCAGGTGGAAAAACATACAGAATAAAATATTTATAGCAGCTGTCTGTTCTCCCTGAGAGTAGCTAGAAAGTGCAGTTTGAAATGGAACAAAGTGGTTGTAGGCTTGGAACAGAAGCAGAAAGGTTCTTCTGGGCAGTGAGTTGGGAAGTTGAGTGTTCACAGCTAAAAGTACATGTAGATGCACAAGCAGTGCCATTGGACATATGCTGGAAGCTTTATAAGCCAGCCTGTTGTTTTAAATCCAGCCTTTTTATAAATGGATTTCAGTAATCCACAAAAGACAGAGGAGATTGCTCTCGCACATCAACAAACAGACCAGTACAAAAGGAGTGGAATAGAAACAAGGCAAAACACAAGTGGTTTGTTACAATGACGAAAGCAACAGGAAGCATCTCAAGAAAACATCAGCAGATTGAAGTTGACTTAAGGAATATTTTCTGTACACAGTGTACCTGCAGGTGATGCAGAGGAGATTGCAATGCCCTGGAAAATCTTGTCATTTGGTTCTTGTAAAATGCTTGGTTTAGACTCATAGCGTCATAATGATTTGGGAGAAGGGAGCAGAATGTCTTGAAAATATACATGTAAGGAGGAGTTAACAAGGTAATGAAAAACAAGTAGCCTAAAGTACTACAAGTAGCTCCTTTTTTTTTAAAAAAAACCTGTGGCACTCAATAAGATAAGTGGGTTCTGTACCTTTTTTGGAACTTTCTCTGCAGAACGTGTCCAGAGTGGTCTGAGTGCCTGCCTTCAGCTTTAGGACTGCATTAGCAGAGCAGAACATGAACTCCACTGGACTGGGCATTTTGAACTTTTTCTCACTTTCTTTCACAAGACTTTTCTGCTTTCTACTGGATTCTGCAGCACTTAGTGACTCATGGCATGCTCTGATTCTAATTATAGCTCTGCATCAGTATGCTCTTCTTTCTTTTTTCTTTCTTTTTTCCCTTTATTCTGGTGTAGTCCTCTGGTGTGGTGGTCTCTTTTCTGCTTGAACCATGGCTGTGCCTCAGCAGGAAGCTGGCTTGAACTCTGTGTCTGAATACAACAGAATACTTTCCTGGTTTGCATGTTTGCAAAACAAACTTCTTCTTTGCCTATTTGTAGAAAGCCTTATAGGGTTTAGTTGAAAACTGCCACCCTCTTAGCAGGTGCTTGATGTACTGGGGAGGTGGCAGGCAGGTTGAGCTCAACCAAGCAGGGATTTTGCCTTGCTCCTCTGGATGCTTGGAGAAATCATACAAGTTTAGGAGTACAGGGTGTTGCAATCTCTTCTGGGCACTGCACAGTCACAGTTTCCAGCTTTGCAATTTGCTTTAGCTAACGCAGTTACTACAAGCAGCAAGACTTTTCTGAAAAGTACACATTTGTTTGGGGGTCCTTCTGAGCAGTTACAAAATAACCTGATAAATGACAGTTGCCTACTTCCTTGTGTTTGGTTTTTTTTAACTTAAATCAGGGCTGTGTACCCTTCTGTGTGTGCTGCTTTAAACCACTCAGAATACTGGGAGAGACTATTTTACTAGAGCATGTAGAGACAGGACAAGAAGGAACCACTTCAAACTGAAAGAGAGTTGGTTTAGATCAAATAATAGGAAAAAACTGTTCCCTGTGAGGCTGGTGAGGCCCTGGCACTGGTTGTCCAGAGAAGCTGTGGCTGCCCCATCCCTTCAAGTGTCCAAGGCCAAGGACAGGGTTTGGAGAAACCTGGACTAGTGAAAGGTGTCCCTGCCCATGGCAGGGGGTGGAACAAGATGATGTTCAAGATCCTTTCAATCCAAACCATTCTGTGGATCTCTGTACTAAAACTGTACCAATTATTTCAGTTTAGATCTATTTTGTTTCTTCATTGAGAGATAATGTTAGCTAAGTACTATACTTATTTTTGCTTTAAAGTTTATTTTCAAGTCTTGCATAGTAATGTTCATTGAGCTGTGGTAAGTTTTAAAGTCAAGACTACTTTGCTTTCCCTTCAAAATGAGCACTGCACCCAAGGAGAGATATGAAAGAGCACTCTATTTAAAGCCACTTAGAACATCTATTTTTCAGCTTCTCTAAGGAGCTTAAGATGTGTTTCCTGTGTGATAGTACTCCTTAACAATTCATAGCTTCCATATCAGGAGCCTGCAAAAAACAAGCTTATTTTTCATGACCGTGTTTTAGCTCTTTTCTCAGTAGAATTTACAGAACGTGTTTCTTCTTTTCCTCCTCCCACTCCCAAGTAATTGGTGACTGCAGGGCAAATGCTTCTTTTTTTTCTGTAGCTGTACACTTTACATGTCATCACCATCTCTCATGAGTTTTGTGGAATCCAGGGTGGTATTGCACAAATGGCATATGGTCCTTCATGAAAGCCACCAAATTCTCACCTCTCAGGAATTCCCAAGCATTTATTTTGGGCCAAGATGCCTGAAAGAGCAGACATGCTCACTAAAATGGTGCAGACTGTTAGTGGTCATTAAGTTTTCATCTGTTACAGTGTCCTAAGAAAAGTAATATTTCTACCTACTTTTTGCAGTTCTGCTCAGAGAAGCTGCACTGCTGGTAATGAATAAAGGATGAAGAACATATAAATTTTAAAGGCCAGATTGCTTCAGAGATGCTTCCTGTAAACTTTTGTTAAGAGGTTTCCAGAAGTGGAATGACTTGGCAGAAATGATTTCTGCAGTGCAAAGATTGTATTAGATGTAGCTCTAATTTTGTGCAATATATAGCTCCTTGTATGTAGGATACAGTAGCTGCCCCTCTGCTTTGTTAGTTGGTCCCCCATAATGTCAGCATCACCTCTAGGTCATGTGCCATGAAAAACAAACGGGCAAGGGCAGCAGTTCATGTCCATGGCTTGGCACATGTTGTCCTGGGTCTTGTGGGCTGAGATGAGAATCACTTGCTTTTTGCAGAGACGTACAGGTTTTGACCACAGTTGCTTTGCCTTTTGACAGGCTTTGCTGGTACTCCAGGATACCTTTCTCCAGAAGTGTTACGAAAAGATCCTTATGGAAAACCTGTGGATATGTGGGCATGTGGTAGGTTGTTCTGAAAGTCATATTCAGTCCACTGTAAAGTGTCTTAAGGGTGAGAAATTATATCCAGGGTACATTATATTGTGCATCAGAAAGTAGGTATTTAATAAAATCCAGTATTAATTTCTAGTAGAGGTCATTGGATTTTTTTGTTACCCTACAAGCTTCTTTTTTAAGAAATTATTTACTAAGTTCTGTTATCATGGCATTCTTGGCCCTGTCTACACATCACACTTTCAAAGAGTATTCAAAGAATAGCTGCAGGTGTATGATGTCTCATTAGGTAAACACACCAGTTGATACTGTGAGCTGGACGTTTAGTTTTGGTTCACAAGGAGCCTAAAATTCAGTCTGACCAATAAACCCCATCTGCAGGGATAAACCACAAAATTAAATGTTTTCTGAGCTGGAGGACAGAGCAATTGCTTTATCATCCAGTTCTCAAAACTGTGTTCTGAGGCACTGGCAAGTGGCAGCTCCCCAGCTGAGAACAGGGGCTGGTTTCATTATTTCACTTCTACTCACAGTTAGTATGTGGTTGTATCTATGAAAACACTTTTCTTCAGTCAGAGGGAATTGTCTCTGGCAGATTAGTAGGTGTTTTTTTCAATTTCTTATTGACCAAATACAGAGAAATTTCAGATTCCCAAATTTGCTTTGCATAAGAATAGTTATAAGACAATCTTTCAGACACCAGTATAAGTCATGATAAAACCATAAGTAAAAACATGTGTTTTCCTAGAACATCCAGAATCATGGTATATTATATCTCTGGCTAGATAAACATTTCCAGTGTTCCTGATTTGATGATGTCACATGCTCATCATTGCCTCTGTTTTCCATAAGAGGTTAACTTGGCAGCCCCACTTCTATGTTTTCCCCAGTCTGAAGAGGCAGTATTTCTCCCATCCCAGTGGCTGGGATGATACTCATGAGCCTTTTGTTTTACATGGTTGTTAGGTGCAAAATTAATTTCTGGAATTTGTTCCTTGAAAGCCCTTAACACTGGTGTGAATTTTCTGCAGGAGTCATTCTGTACATCCTCCTGGTGGGATACCCTCCCTTCTGGGATGAAGACCAGCACAGGCTTTACCAGCAGATCAAGGCTGGTGCTTATGATGTATGTACTGTACTCTGTCTATTCAGTTGTTTGTAATTGTTCCTCTGTGTGGGATTTCCCTAGAGGGAGAAGTTAAGAACTGATGAGATGGTGGCATATGAATTCTGCAACATCATCTAACCATATTTTGTTAAACAGACAAGATTTAGGTAGTTTGTAAATGATGATGAGGTAAAGGCAGAGCTTTATAATTTTTAAGCTCTTATTTGAATCCAGAGGTGGATCCTTAGGTAAAATTGTGTAAAGGTTGTACTTGACAATATACATATGTGTATTTTTTTCTGAAGTTCCCCTCCCCAGAATGGGACACGGTGACTCCTGAAGCAAAAGACCTTATCAATAAAATGCTCACCATCAACCCAGCAAAACGTATCACAGCATCAGAAGCACTAAAGCATCCATGGATCTGTGTAAGTAATTTCCACAGCTTCAACACAATCACTGGGCAGACAAATCAGTTTATGGTTTGCTTCAGCGTGTAGCGAATGTGTTCAGAGGATAACTTCTGTTCTTGTTCATGCAGCTGTGTAACTATAAATTGTAAAATTATAATTATACAGATAGGATCAATAGTGGTCTGTATTTATAGAGCTCTCAGCTTGGGGTAGAGATTTTTGCAAATTTACCTCCTTTGCCTTGACTGTGTTGTGCAGAACGTTCTCTGTGAAAATTAGAGTGTTATTTTAAATTCTCAAAGTGCAGCAAAGTAACTTTGAATTAGATAATGCTTTACATCTTCCTTTCCCTGAAATCATTCAGATAAGCATGAAATGTGCAGGCAGGGAATTAAGGGACTTATGAAAAGTCAATTTGAAAGTAGCAGAGGCTGCCTGGCTGTTCCTGCATCTAGGACTTTTCTCCTGTTCTCAGTATATTCCACACCAAGACTTCTCAAGTGGACTTGACACACAAAAAAGGCTGAGTAAAAGGAGCACGATGGAATAGTCAGACAAGGCAGAAATTAAAGGCCCAAGTTGGGGACCATGGGTTGTAATATGTGAGTTGTCGAGTTGTAGAGTGGCTAAACTGCTGGCTGGGTGTCTTCAAATAATTATTTTCTTCTTCTCAGCAACGTTCTACTGTTGCCTCTATGATGCACAGACAAGAGACTGTAGATTGCTTGAAGAAATTCAATGCAAGAAGAAAACTAAAGGTAAGAAAGCAAATTTGTGCTTGTGTTCAGTGTGCAAAACAAATGGTCTCTGTGCAGAGTTTTTCTAAATATTTTTCTTAAATGACCTATTGATAGAAGATCAGCTTTTGGCTTGAAGATCTTAAACTTTCCATGAAAGTGAATAGAATTTGGCTTTTCTTTTTTAATTCAAAATTACAGTAATCCTCTGTATCTAGACACCCTAAAAGTATGCTCTTGAAGGAAAATCCTTTAGGTTATTCTTCTGAATTATGTTTTGTTTTTCCCTGGCCAGATATGATAACTTTGCAGATGTGAACTTGTCTAATGTGTACATTACAAATAAGCTCCTATTCCTCCCTAAAAAAAAAGAATCTAAGAACAATAGTAATGTCTCTTTCATATTCATCTATGTATTTGGAATAATTGCTGAGCCTCTGAATACTCCTGGCTTGTGCATTACATACTGACAGTTGGTAAATATATGAGATATCAAGATTGCTGATAGGTGTGTAATTAAGACTAAATTATGATTTATGCAGTCATGACATGGCTTATGAGAGGCAGTGCACAGATAATCCATTCTCTCAGGGTTAATTCATGAATTGGTGTCATTTACTTGTCTATTTTCCTTTTTGTTGTGTTGTGTTGGCATTTGGAGTTTTACACAAGTGTGATGCTAATTTGAGAAAATGTGTGTGTACACAGGGGGCCATTTTGACAACAATGCTGGCTACCAGAAATTTCTCAGGTATGTTCATTGAGCTCCACATTGATGCAGTTTTTATATTTTAATGTCTGTGAAGGCTGAAGTCTAATTAGGACTTGTTCAGGAGCATCTAAGTGTGATATACATTGTGTTATTTTCTGTGATGAAGCAAACAAGAATTTCACCTCTTTGGGCCACAGAAATTCTCTTACAGGTGACAATCTGATTTTTCTGTAGAATGTGAGCTCCTTCCCTGCTTTTTGATTGTTACCTGTCAAGGACAGGCAGCGTTTTCGTGACTGTTTTGGTGCAGGCAAAGTTAGACGTATAGCTCCACATGCACAAGTATCACCAAACATTATAACTCAGGTATTTTTATATATGTGAAAAGGCATTCCATGATTCTGTTGCATCCTGTATTAAAAGTATCATCAGTACACATTCATTTCTTTATTGCTTTGCTGAGGAGTAAGAAATGTAGTAACACGAGTCCCAATTTTCTTTCTAATGCCCAGCAGTGCCTAGCTGGATATAAGAACAGTTGTTTCCTCTTCATGAAACAGTTTTGTCCTGATGACTCTGGAGATTTAGATCTTACACTAAACAAGCTCTAATAGCAAAAGCTAAAATTGCTCTTAGCAGAGTTAGAATTGTCCTAAGTAGTAGAATTGCCAGAATATTGATGCTGTGTTGAATTTTTCATTTTGCCATTTGAGATTTCTAGTGAATAGTGAAATAGAACACCAGATTTAAAAATCAGTAATTTTACATATCCTCCTACTCTGTGATGTAACTATTGGAGTGTAACATGAATTACTGTACAGACAAAAACATGATAGTGCTCTGGGCATGTTTCAAATAATAATAAGCACTGACTCATCCAAAAAAATTACATAATCACAAACGCAAGAACAACTTGTTCAATTTGCATAGTACTTGAAATACAATTTCTTTCTTAGTTAAGTTCCCTTTTTTAATGCACACCTAAACACAGAGGACCACGTTCATCTGAATTACCTTGAGTTAGTGCTTAATGAATTCCAGTGTCTGCCAATTCATTTAAAAGGTGGGAAGGCTGTAGGCTGCGCTTCTTGTAAAAATGAATTACTGTTAAATGTCAAACAAACAAATCATTCCTCATCCCTTTTCATAACTGTCACTGTCTATATATGTAAGGATCAAATTCCACGAACCAAAAAAGCTGAAGTAGTTTTTAAACAGCATTTCAGCATGAAAAGCAAACAGGGGTTTTGGCTTTTTTTGGTTTTTTCACCTGACATCTCTTCTTTTACACCATTGCCACCTGTGTTTTTTCTTGATGACATTTTATTTTTTTGGTTTTTTATTCATTGTATTTCATTGCAAAGCATGCTTATGAAGGTCATTTGTCCATAATGATGTGGTTATAAAAGTGTTTTACTTTCCTTTTTTTTTTTCTTCCTTTTATGTGGAATGTGTATTTCTTGTGAGGTAAGACCCTCAGCACGTGAAAGGAACATCTTCTTTCTCTACTCAATCCAAACTGCTGTTTGTCCTCAATCACTTTAATTTCTCCATGCTGTCACAAACCATTTGTTTCCAGTTGCTTTCTGGCCTAGTAGCACTGCCTTAGGTTTTATTTTTAGCTCTTGCTTGTAGTTGCAAGAAATCTCTCATTGTGGGCTTAATTTAGAATACGCTGATTGCTTTGCTCCTGCGAATTCTTTAAATATTTGATTTGTATGCAGTGTCTGTGATTCAAGAAAAATAAATCCAAGTGCTATTAAAAATCCCTTGCAGGCCAAACCCAGCAGAGTGGCAGGGTATGTCCTGCAACGTGCAGCAGTGCCTGGTAATCCGTGCTGGGCGCGTTCCGAGGGACGCGCCGGCAGCGCCCTACACGCAATAAATACTCGGTGTTATTGCTTGTGGTGCCCTCATTTTACTGCCTCTCATTGAACTGTTTGCATAGAACACGTAGTGTTTGTCAAGCATCAAAAGAACTCAGAAGTTTCATGCACAAATTTAGAGAAAGGACCTGCAGCAGTCTGTAAGAATTAATTTATGTTTTCCCATGTTTTTATAGGGGCTAAGGGTATAAAACAGGCTTTGAAAGCTATTAACTTCTGGGTTTTTTTGTCCTTAGGTTTCAGAAATATCTCCTTCCCTTTGCTTTCCCTAAATAAATTCCTGAAGGTAATGGAGTGCCCACAATATTTGTGGTAATGAAAAATCTAAGGCCCTCTTGCCTCAGGTCCTGAAAGCACACATTGCCACAGGGAGTGTCCAGTCTCCAAAGTATGTGGAGAACAATTTGGTTTCAATATTTACATTCATGTTTCTTTAAATAAAAAATGCAGTGGTAGTGCTGCACAATACGGGCAAACTTATTTTTGTTCATTTTAGCTGTAAGACGTGGCTGTGTGGGAGGTCTAATGGTAGTGTTGGCTGATGTCCATAGTTACTGAACTGCATTTGGAGGGCTGATATATTAGTGAAATTAGAAACATCAACCTGGCTTCACTTTCCAGGTTTTATTTCATGTAAACAACACCATCATGGACATTAGTCATTTCTGTACAGTTGCTGAGGTGATTCTACATTTTCTGTGCTGTAAAATGAGCACTTAATACACATGTAGCTCAAAAATAAGCCACAAGTACAAGAATTAGCTTTAAAGGTAAACTCAGTAACTCCTGTATCCTCACTAGTCTGAGCAGCCTTGGGCATGCAAGGTCCAATTGATTTGGAGTTTTGGGGTTTTTTTGAGATAAGGATGCCAGTAACAATGGGAGCTCCATGTTGGGATTGTCTCCCCTATATACAGAACAGCAATTTCTTACTGCCTGAGCTGTGGAACACTTTCTGATGGGAAGATTGGGTCATAAACAACAATAAAACCCCAATAACAGCAGGCTTGTTGTGTAATTTATTATTCTTCAAGTCTTTGGCAGTGATTCATGAAGCATTTACGCTTTAGTGAATAGTTTATATGGATTTGGTAGGTCAGCCAGCATGTATTTCTGCTGTGAATGTTTTCAGGTTCAGAGCTGTGCTGTGCTTGTTTGCACGTTAGCCTTCCAAATTTAGGAAATCGGAATTATTTGATGCCAGTTTTAAGTGGTGGAATTTAAAGTCTGGCACGTGAATTACATTATGGCAAATGAAATTTTGAAGAAATTTGATCAGTGTGCAACATGATTCTGAAAATAGCATGTTTTCTTCATTAGGAGCTGAAGCAAAGCCTAGAATTTGTTATTATTGCCTCACAGGAGCAACCCTCCAAAACAGCCCTTCGCTAGCAAATCGTCCTTCCTTTCTTCCTTGCAGCTGTGCTGCCCTTTCACACAAGGAGGCTGATGCTGTCATGGTGGGAAGTCCCCAGAGGGGCATTATGCATATTGCTACCATCACTGAGATACCACTGGGCTCTGCAGACACCTGGTCCAAGTCCCTGCCATCAGGACAACACCTTTTCACAGTCGTATCGAACTGTCCCTGTCATCCAGTAGAAATATTCTGCAGTTGAGGAAATGGATATAGCCAAAGCTGCTGCTTTTACACTCACCCTGCTTCCATTTCCTCTCTGCCACCCAAGGAGCTCTGTCCTTGTAGAAGTACAGTCAACCTACAGCGTTAGTCAATGGAAAAAGAGGTGTTTGATAATCCTAAGGACTGGTGATTTCCTAAGGATTTCATTCCCCATGCTCAGAGAAACAAAATGAGGAAATAAAAGCTGAGAACTTACCTGGAGCTGGGAGGCACTGGGGGTTTGCTGCACAGCTGGGTGACCTCAGGGGAGCCACCTGACACTGAAATTATTTGTCTCGTTTTACAGCAGCCAAGAGTTTACTGAAAAAGCCGGATGGAGTTAAGGTAGGTTAAACACCTGCTTTCCATTTCAAAGATATATTCTTAGTCTCCACCTGTCTGTAACTTCTGCCAGGTTTTAGAATTGATTATTGCTATTTCTCTCCTTCATAGATTCTGTTAGTAAGTGCTTCTCACTAGCTATTTGGAGTGGTTCAAGTTAGTAGCTGAAAATTAGAGATGAAATGAAACAAATACTTGAAAAGCTAGCATTAAGTAAGCAGAAGATAGAAAACTACTGGAGAAACTGCTTTTTCTTGCTTTTTAAATGAAGAATGATTATGTAATTAATGACTCAGAGTTAACTGATAACTTGTAAATAATGGTTTGGTGGTGGGCTTTTTAGGCATCATTGTTTATGTGCAGCTCTGTTGCCTCTTTGTTTCCCTTTGGCTTTCCATTAGATTTCATGGAAGACCAAAAGTGTACGGGCAGGCTTGGCTCCACATGAGGTGTGTTCTGCCAGATGTACTTGCTATATTTGGCAGAACTTGAGGGGTTTACTGTCTCAGATCAGCTCATCCTGACTAGGAGACCTTGCTAAGAAGGGAACATTTTGGCAGCTTTCGTACATGATTTAGAGCTCCTGTTCTCACGTCACCAGACCCTGCAGGAGGAGAGATGCTTCACAAATAAAGGTTCTGCATAAATACTTTGGGAAAAAAAAAAAGAAAAAAAAAAAAACCCACTCAGCAGAAAATGTATTTTGTTTTTTTGTTTTTTCTCAGAGGACTCTTAAAGACTAATATAATGATTCAAGCTTTCATTGTAAGATTCAGAAGATATTCTTCTGTGCTCTCTGTGTTTATTCAGAAGGGTGTCTTTGACCTGAATTTTAATTTTTTATTTAATCCTAATGTCTTATTTTAACAAAACATTATAAATACTTGCTTAAATACCAGATTCACAGTATATTTGTGTCTGACAAATGGACACTTTGCCAATCAAAAAATCAGAGCCTGACCTACAAAGAAATGAGTACAGTACCATTGCATTGCTTCTCACTGCCAAGCAGTGGAGATCCCACTCACACAGAGAAGCACACGTTTGGAACAATTCTGTCACTGCTGGAAAACCCTGATCATGTTTCATTGTGGAATAGATAAAATTTATGCGCTCTCTGACCAGTTTTCCTTTCTAAATATCATTCCTCCTACAGGTCTACGATGCTGTTTGTTCTATCGCAATCTCGATTATAATATAGGAAACAATTGTTGCCAAAATTTTGCCTAAATTTCACCTGTTGGGATTCAGTTCTTTGGTTTTCAGCACATGTTACGTGTCTGCTGTTAGTCTGCATGGTCATGTGGAGCAAAGGGAGTAAATGTACATCTGGGGAAGTCTGGTTTTGTCAATGCTGTTATTGAGATACTCTGTAGCATTTTTCCAGCCCTTCTAACAGCTGTAGCTGTCTTTTTCATATTAAAAAAGAAAAAAAAAAAGCCAAAAGAGAAATATACTGTACTCCATGCATTGATATTGCAAGTCCAACCAGTCACGTTTTCTTCTTTTCCTTTCTCTCTGACTGGTCAATTCAGAAAAGGAAGTCCAGTTCGAGTGTTCAGATGATGGTGAGGATCTTTATCGACAGATTTTTTTTTTCCTCCTGTGAAACGTTCACACTTAGAAATCAAACAGTTGCATTTAGCTTTGTTAACTTACTGTGAGAACTGCAAGACTTTAAAGTACAACCTTGTGAATTTTAAGCCTGCAGTTGCTATATGCCATCCAGAGTGAATTGTTCAGCCATTCTTTCAAGCAAGTCATAATTTTTTTTAACCTGGGGACATAAAAAACCAAAAAAGTAGATGTAACATCAGCCAATGCAGCTGTTCTTAGTAAATAAGAATAGTAACAAAATAGTAATCTTGTAACAGACTTCTCTTTGTTTTTAAAACCTACTTATTTTAAAAGCTAATAGTATTAATATTGTAAAATGTAACACAAAACAAGTTACACAGTGATACGGTACTGCATTAATTGAGTCACTGTAGCCCAAGATGCCATGCTAAATGCTCAGGAGTAAAAAAGCCAATTTCCCAGCCTTGCCACACTAGTTTCCCAACTAGCTTGCTCTGCAGCTCAGGGCTGTGTCCCAGGATGTCTCAGCTGACAGTCTCAATAACTTTTCCTTCCTTCTCAACCTATTCTCCAGTCTTGTGTTCATTTGGCCTCCATGACCCCACGCAGTAACTTCCTCTGTTGCTGTTTATGGTGGTTTTGAATGTGACCTTTGAGGTGTTTGTGAGGATGGGCTCTGCCTGCTGCTGCTGCTGGCAGAGAGAAGGCAAAGGGCCCTCATCCACACCTTTCACTGGGAAGCCAACTCTCCTTGGAAAGCAAAAACTGCTGGCCATGCAGTTATGTAGGTAAATCCTCTGTTCCTTGGGTGAATGCAGAATTCCAGCGGCAGGAGCCGCAGCATCCAAAGGAGGGGCACCGGGAAGGTGCGGTGTGGTTATTGCCAGGATCCCAAACCTCAAGTGTGCGTTAACTCTTTGTCACAGAAGTAGCTTGTGAAAGGTAACGCCCCAAGACACGGACTTGAGTTGTTAAAATATTTTCATATTCTATGGAAAAAAGGCCAATAATGATACTAGAGTTGTGCCCAGCTCTTTGAAGTGTGTGTATGTCTGTCCTGCACCTCAAAGAGTGTCTTTTGGCAAGTGATGCAGCAATAAAACATTCTCCTTCACAACAAACAGGTGGTCACTGGTTAAGGACAAATCAGCTGTGAAGGAACTGTTTTGTATGACAATATTGTAATCCTTTTGGAGTGGTTTCCCTTTGCTGTTAAGAATACATGCAAGGTGTGCCATGTGTTCCTAGATTAATGTCTCTGATGTGTGAGAGAGAAAACATGTACAGCTTATTGCTGTTTTCTCACAAAGCTTCAAAGGGTTTTAGCAAGTTCTGTTTGCATGGAAGAAGTAACTGTATTTTGAATCACGTTTTCTCTCTCTTCCCGATGAGTGCTGGATTCTCAATATCTCGCTGAAGAAGTTTTGAATAGATTTCCTGCAGTTTTCAGCAGTAGCTGTAATGGATATTGTTCATTTTCATAGGGCTTTCACCAAGGGACTATGAACCAAAGCCTTACTCAGGCAAAATTGGAATTGAACTTTGACTAACCTGTTTTCCTTATGTATTCAACCAAGAGCACTCATTTGGGATACCACTTGAGCTTGTGTATTGAGCTGCTACTGAATAGGACTGTATGAAATCTGGTGAAATCTTCATTTCTTTCCTTATGTTTTTCCTTTATGTCTGTTCGCTTTTTGCTGGGGTCTTTTTAATCTAGTCTCTCAGTGACTACACTGACACAACAATATGAATCTGTAGTTATGCAACTCAAGATGGAATTTTTGTCTTGCTTGGAAGGTTTAGTCTGCTGTCAAGCAGCCTTGTTTGTGTTCCCACTCTTCTACAGATCTCCAGTAGAACTTTAATTTACTGAAATGGATGAGGTTTTCTTTAAAGTTTTTTCCTGAGTAAGGAGTTCAGAGTTCAGCCCATCTCAGAATCCCATAAATATCAAAGCAAGTAAAATACTTTCCAATACTTAGACCTCCCCTGAAAGACTTTACGCACAAAGGTGTTTGTTCTCTCCCTGTCCTGATTTCAGACAATGCTACAGCTTACAGCTGTAATTGTGCATAGAGAAATGAAATTTATTTGACAATAAGTAAGCCAATTTAAGGGCGTAATGACTTGCAACTCAATAATGACTCATATGTTCTCTTAATGACAATTTCTGCAGAAAGACCATTGTTTAAAAAATAAACTGCTCCTCATCCTCCTGCTGTAGAGCATCATGAACTTTGCTTTTAAATCAAAGAAAATTATTCTATACAGGAAAACAGTATCTATCACAAGTATTGTTAAATAACATTTAGTGTCGACATCATGTTCCCTGATTAACTAACAAAACTACTTTATATTCTTCAAAGCCAGTTAAATGCTGGTTAAAAATTAGAAAATTTGCATGCTGTAATTCATTACTGCAAATCCTGTGGACGTTTCCATAATTTAAACGTATCCTAAGTAAGATTGACTTCAGCTGCAGGCTCAATTCCTGAAATCCACAAGTCAGCTGCCCTGCCTGGCCCAAAGTAAAATAATCATCATAAAGTCCTGAGGACATGGAGTCTGTGAATTTCATTTCTTTCCATTCTGTAAAGTTAATTACATTTTAGGAAAATCCATTAACAAAACAATTTCAGGCATTTCTGGTTTCGCTTTGCACCCTTATTACTAAGTACCATGACTAGAAGGTTCAGTAGAACTTGGGCTTTTGAATTAAAGTCTTTTCAGATCGTCTGTATCTATATACCTAGTTCTGCATGATGCTTTGGACAACCCTTGTTAAAATTAGACATGACCAAAATGTACATAATATTTTTTCCTCATTATTGTTAGAGAGGAAAAAATACATCTTTCAAACAAATTGCACAATACTTGAATCTTGCTTCTTAGTGCATGTAAAAAGCAGCTCGCTACATTATTTTTAGTATTTCAGTTCTTCCCATACTCCATGGTGTTAATGAAAGTTAAACCTTAAAAAATGGATTTAAAGGCTCAGATAATTCGAAACTTTCTGCTGAGCAGTTTAACTTGAATTAATATTTTGTTCAGATAAAAGCCAGAAATTGTAGCACTGTGCTAAGCTTAAGGAGTATTGTGAGGACCTATATGTAAATTTAGACAGAGAGGTGCTGAGGGCTGGAGTAAGGCTACAGGTACCACAGTGGGAAACCTTGCACTTGAGAGTCACAGTACCAGCACTGAGAAGCTGCCAGTGATTTTCTGCTAAAAATAGCACCAAAAAAGCTCAAGGGGCACAAGTCTCTTTCTAGCATCAGTCACATTTATTCCGAAGGGGAATCAGAAGCCAGTAGAACAATTTACAGATTCTTGAAGTGCTACAAATACTCAAATGTTATTTATGGTAGGGATAATTCATTAGAAATCAAGAGCTGTTGGGTGCAATGACCCAACACCACTGCATGTCACGAAATGGCAGCGACTATTTAGGACTTTGTTGCAACCCATATTAATTCTTTATTCTTCTTAGAGGTGCTTAGCTGCTGCTTAAGGGCTCTCTGCTAAGTGTCTCAGCTCAACTCATCCGTCCCTTACCTAGACCTTGGTGCAGGGCTCGGGCAGCGCGCGGGGAGGAGCTGCCAGCCAGCTCCCGGAGTTAGTGTCAGTGTTGCTGCAAGTTGCTAAGTTCATCTTTCTGTATTCTTTATTTCCATATCTATATCTATCTATAGATACCGATAGCTGTCTATAGATGTTGTGTGCAGAGATATAGATACGGTGCCTACCGCGAGTTCTAAGGCCTGTCTGTTTCTGTTTTCTGCATACCTACAGATAAACAACAAAACCAACGTGGTAACCAGCCCCAAGGAAAATATTCCTACCCCGGCGCTGGTATACCTGGAATTTTCCTTCTCATGCTATCTGGAAGTTTTTGACTGTCTTCTGTTTGTTCTTCCTTTTTTTTTTTTTTTTTTCCCCTCTTTTTGGCTTTTTCATGCATTTACTCTGTTTGCTTTCTAAAAACAGGTTTTGGAAAACCTTTTTGTTTGAATTATGCTGTCTTTTTTTTGTGAGGAAATCCATTAGAGCGTGTTTATTGACAGAAAATGTTAAATGGAAGCTGGATGCGGTAGAGTCGTAGCATTTGTAACCGTAGCTGAATTTTTTGCATGCTGTGCCAGAAAGTGAGTAGAATGCGCTTGGTGTTGCTCTTAGCTCTTTGCCTGATGACTGTTTCCACTTTCTAATGCTAACCTTTTGCACCAACAAAATTTTTTAAAACCTGCTCCATTACTTTCTCGGCTTTGTCTTAGTTAAAGTATTGACATCCAGGAGAGCTAACAGGATTATTACTAGGCTGCCATAAAACAGACCTTATTCAGATTTTGATTCCATGTTTCCTGAAACTCAGCAGGACTTTGCAAGACTTCTCTGGGATCAAGAGGCATCTAGAGCTAAACATTTTGCTTCTTTCTCTTCCATTTAAATCAGCAGGAGACATTATTCATGAATAAGCTCTGCTGAGGACATATTACAAATCAAAGTGACGTTCCTGGGTGTTTACTGCAGCCTGGCTTTTATTAATAGCCCTATTTCTAAGGCACCTGTGTATCACGGGGCTCACCAGTGTAAATGCCAGTACCAAAGCGCATCATGTTGTTACTTGTTGTTTCTCATGGACATATAAAACTCTGGAAATGGGGTAGTTAACCCACATTTGGAAGCATTTTTCCTCTGCAGTTTTTTTGAGCAGCTGGCAGTGAGGCATGCACTAAGTTCTTCCTAAGACCAAGTCAGCAGGTTGCATGCAGGAGTTTATGGCAGTCTGTTCCCAGACGGAGCCCTGCCCGATGGCCCATGCTGAAAGCACGCTGACTAACTGCCATTTCAAAGATTATTGGCTTTTTTGTTAAAGTGAAAGGATTTGGGGAAATTACACTTTTACATGGCACAAAGCTCTCTCTCACTTGTTTTTATGCAGCTCTGCCAAGGCAGGAGTTGAGGGCAATCCACGCATTCCAAACCACAGAAGTGTCTGGGGGTAGTCGTCCTTAACCCTTCCCAATTCCACTGTATTTCGATTTGGTCACTTCATGCTAATACAAGCAAACATAATTAAAGAGAAGAAGTTATTAAAGCTTAAAGATTTGTGGCTGCCCTGTCTGTCCAGGTTCAGACAGGAAAGCCCACGGAGCATTTGGCCTGCTCTTGTCCAGAAGAGCCTCTGCAGGTCCCCAGAGCTTCAAAGCCCTGCACACCCTGGTCCTGAATAAGGTCTCTGCATGCTGCTGCTTTAGGTGAGATGGCCTTTTTTGCTGGCTTGCTGTTGAGGAAATCTGTGTTAGAGACATCCAGTTTCACCCCCTGGCGACAGTTAACATTTGTTTTAACTCTTGTCAGTGTTCAGCATTTGTGAGCTGGCTCTTCTTGCACTCCCTCACACCAATGAAAATGTATTTACCAATGGGAACTCTTTCTCTCTTTATTTTGTTCTCGCTCAGGAGCCCCAAACTACAGTAATCCACAACCCTGATGGAAATAAGGTATTCAGAAAGAATCAACTCCATCTTGCTTTTCCACACCACACATTCCATCCACTATTCCACAGCACAATAGGGCCATTCCAAGAATTTGTGAAGGAAAAAATCTCATTCCTGCATTTGTTACACCCAGCGTGTCTCGAGCCTGTTTTCATCCGTGTCCATCTGCTGCGTGCATCCTGCTGCTTCTGAGCTCCTGAAGCTCTCGGGGGAGTCGGTAGCAATGGGCAGAGCTCAGTGCCCTGTGCAGCCTGGCTTGGGGAGCAGGGGGTCTCTCTCATTTCAGCCAAAAACGCTGCAGTCTAAGGGAAACCTAAGAGTGCTGTTCTCAGAGTGTGGTGAGATGATCCCGGCGAGTTTTACGTGCAGTCGTCACCCCAGACAAAGATGTCATTTCCGTTTATTCCATCTGCTGTTTCTCAGCATGCTTAAACACTGTGTCGTGACGTGTCTTTTGCACAGGACTTTGGTTTTCTTCCATAACATCACTGGGCAGTTTCCAAAAAAAATTTCACATTTCAAGTGACAAAGAGGTCTTTTGATTTTTACGTGTTTTCTTCACGCTCTTTTCTTTTTCTCATGTATTGTGATGTTTGCGTCTGGCAGCTGATCCCTAAAACGTGTTTTGTTTTATTTTTTTCATGCATGGACTTGAAAAGGGCCAGGAAATACCATCATTTACATTAACACATGTTCCTAGGTTTCCTGAAAAGAATTGATGCTTCAACAACAATTTCACTGTTTGCAGTGCTGATTTAATTCACATCCCATTTATCTAGTCTTAACTCCCTGTGGTTATTTCATAAGAGGAGTGGATCTGAGTGCCGACATAACGCACGCAGACATTCCTCAAGCATGGAAGTGCTGATGGTGTGTGTTGTGCTTGTGTGTCCCAGCCCTTTATGTCCCCTGCATCTGTCCAGCACAGAACTTGTGTTTTCATGTAACTACTCTTTGAGCTCCCCAAGTTTAAACTCATAGGCCACCAGCAGCCTGTGTTTGAACAGCAGGCTGATCTTTATCGCTGAAGTCCACTAAAGCCCAGAAAACCCAGATAAAATATTGGCATGACTACATCTACTTGATTTTATTACATTATCTCAACAACTGAGATACTCGATGTCCCAAAAGGTCACAGCAAACAAACAAACCCCTTAATGTGGAGAGTTCCTCCTAAATTTATCTGAAAGACTGATCCTTGTAGTATGGCAACTGGAGTGGATGCTTCAGTGTTAGAGGCTACATCTGCCCTGTGAGCTTTGCATGGTGTTTACAACTCATATTTGTGTGAGGTTTTTGTTCACTTGTGAGTACTTTATCTAATATTTGAAGTGCTAGAGCATGATACGTCCATGTAGAGTGGAATGTCTAACACAGCCAGGGCAGGGACAGCATGGTGGCTTGTTCAGTTTTGTTTGTGTGTGACTTAATTCCTCTGGTTTGACTTATCAATGCACATTTGGGTTTGGAAGGTCTGTGTAATGCATTAGCCCTCTTGAACGTTCCTTTGGCTCAGCCTTGTGAGGACGCAGTAAATGAGGGGCACTGGCAAATTTTCATTATGTAATTGTAAAATCCTTTATAGAATTAAATACAAACCAGTCTTGTCTTCTCTCTCAGATAAAAAGAGATCAGTTAATCTTTTTTGTTATTGAGCTGCAAATAAAAAAAAAAGTTGTACTTTTCAACAAAGTATAGAGATAAAAAAACTATCTAGCTTAAAACTTTCCAGCTCTCTGCAGCTGTTAGATTTGACAGTGCCCTGTTGAATTTGCCCATTATATTTCATGTTTCTGGTAATTAAGGAAAGACTGAGATACAATAACCTTGCCTTTTTAAGTGTCATGGCTTAAGAATGAACTGTCGGATACATGAGTCATTCCTCTGCTTGACTGATTGGCTGAAGAATACTGCAAAAAGATGCCTTAGTTTGTCAAAGTTCTTAACATATGTTCAAGTTCTTCATCTTCTTAAAAAAAAAAAAATCACAAAACTCAGTATAAAAATGAGATAATCTGTTCAATATGCTTCAGATCACTGTCATTTGAATATACATTGCATAAGTCACACGAGCAGGAAATCAGTTGTAAATTGTAGCTTGCAGAAGCCTGCATATTTGGAAGGTGGAATTGGAATGGAATGACTTATTTTGCACAGTTGGTTTAATCACTAAGCTTAAAATGGCAAGCACTCCTACTTGGCTGAGGTAATTCATACATTTCAGATGGACTTTGTAGAGTTGGATGTTCAAAAAAAAAACAAACTTTCCTGTACATTCCTGTGAAGTAAAAGCATCAGAATGCAGGAATTGTGTTTCTGTTCCCTCCTGTGGAGAATGGCATTGTTTGACATCCATTTCAGGTGGAAATGTCTCAATCAGTGTGTGACCATTTGTTTGTGATTGGCATCCCACCCTGCTTCAAGGCTTTGCATGAGTCCTGTAACTAATCCTGTCATTTTCCTAGGCACGCAAATAAGCCTTGGCTTGTTTTATACATTTGACTCATATTTACTTCTCAACAGGAATCAACAGAGAGTTCCAACACGACCATCGAAGATGAGGATGTGAAAGGTATGATTTTATGCTGGAAATGTTTGGAGAAGCAGTAACATGAGTTTTGTGGTTGTATTTCAGTAGGCCATTAAACACAGAAACCCCTAACAAATCTTAGGAGAGAATAGTGGTTTTCCTTTTTTAGAAGAAATTACTTTTGGTGTGTTTCAGACTTAACTGTAACTTTTCAGTTCCCAAAACACCATTTCCCATGATGTTTTGGGATTAAGAGTATAAAGTTACTGCTTTTTGACTAAGATATTAGTTCCAGTAGTAATAGAAGTAGATTATAAATGTCCAAGTCAGTGCTTTGTAACTTCTACTTAGTTTATGTTTAGCATGCATTTGTGTTTTGGGTTTGGTTTTGTTGTTTTGGTTTTTTTTTTTTCATGTCACCATTTTTATTCTGTTCAGATGCCAGTGTATTTTTTGGTTTCCTTTTGTTCTCTCCATAGACTTATTTTAATCTTATTTTATTCTTTAAAAAACTGACATCAAAACTTTGTTTTTATAAACCTGGTTTTGTAGCTTCACAGATATTTGTTTCCATTTTCCCTGCTCTAAACATTATGCTGTGATGTTACACATATCTATTTCAATAGCATTATGTTTTAAAATGCAAAGGGTTGGAAAAAGGGAGTATTTGGTTTGTGTGCCTTTGATTCACAAAATAGGTTAGTTTTTGGCCTCAAAGAACAACGGTGTATGTACAGGTGAAACGTGGGCCAGAGGTGACAGTGAGATAAAACAGGGAGAATGGATGCAACAAGGTGGTGGTGGTGGTGTGGGTTACTGTAAAAGGAGAGAACAATTATAGGGATCTGCAGCTGATGCATTGGAAAATACAGTGTAATTTGCCTTTAATCATAATGCTTTGTATTTCTTTCTTCAAACTATTTGATGTAGTTTAACAGCTAAGGTTATGAAATGAATAATTTAATTGTAGGGCCTCTGTGTGATGATGTAGTGTTATTACAGCAGGGTTTTCAGAAAATTCTGTCTGAAGCTTATGACACAGAATTGTACCTCAGGGGGATACAATTATACAAAAAAAACAACAATGAAAATTATTTGCCTAATTCTTTTAGATGATTCTGCAGTATCATAGGGATGGCCACAATATATGGTATTCCCAAACCAGAAAAGGGGATCATGCAGTAAGCACAGATCCTGTTTGTGTCTTTCCCTGCAGTGTACAGGGATTTAATTTTCTGTTTGTTTAAAAGACAGATCTAACCTCCCTCTTATTAATTGTTCATGAACTTGTTTGTTTTTCACTTTTCAGTATTCCTCTCACACATCCCATCTTTCCTCTGGAGGCTGTTGTTCATACTGTTTTATTATAAATTAAAGCTAACAGTGCCCCCAGGGTCTAATTTGTAGAATGATTCAGGGAATAGGCAGTCCTGCATCTCTGACACCTATTACAAGCTCAAGCTTCCTGCTCTAGCAAGGCACTCAGGAAAGATTATTTCCCCCCACCCCAAGCTTGACTCCTGGATGTATGTTTTGTAGGAGAACAGTGAGAAAGTTGTTCTCTTGTCAGTAACAGCCACTGGAGATAAAATACTGATAGGAACAAATGGATTTCAGAGGAAGGAGAGAGAATTCTCCAGGTTCTTACATGTATGCTCAAGATGACTCAAGATGTTTGTCACCACTTTTGAGACCTAGAAGGAATGCTTTGTGTTTAGATGATAAAGAACGTTTAAGACCTTTTTGCTTTTTGTTGCAGCATGGAGTACAGCATGGGAAGAGGCTCTGTCCTTGCTGGGAAGGAGCAGGGGGCTGTGGCTGTAACTGAGCAGTAGTATTAGCATGTGTTTTATGGCATTGCAGTGTGATCCACACCTCCCAGGGAATGGCTCTGCAGAGGCTGGGCTGTGTGCATTATTCCTGTTCCCAGTCTCCCAACACCGTGCCTGCGCTGCACAGACAGGGCCAGGGCCCCTTCCTTTGTGCAGCTCTGCATCAGGGGCTTTGTTCTTTGGGGTTGATTTGCCTCTTTGCAGAGGTGTGGCTCCCCAGCTCTGTTTTGGGGTGCAGCATCCCCAGCACGCTCGTGTCTCGTGGGAGCCAGTGCTCGTGCGTGTCCGTGCCACGTGTTACGAACGTTAGGATTCATTAAGACAGGGAGCAATTAAAAATGTCTTACATCACCTATCATTAAAGTATCCTCAGGATCAAATTCTCCTCCTGCCTGTCAGGGATGCACAGAGCATTCTCCTCTCGTGTCAGGATCTCGCCCTGTTTTCGCTTTTGAAGGCATGTGTTTAACTTGAAGACAGTAAAATCAGGCTTGCTTTTCATTTTTTATTTACTGGAAATCTTAGTGTCTGTAACTTTGCCTTGTTTATGTATACACTTACCTCTTTCAGGACTGGAACATATTTCTTTTAGTAGAAACAGTGCTTGCCAAACAACAGTGAGCTTTAATAACTCAAGCAATAAGCTAATTACATCATTTGAGTCTGAAATGACTTGAAGCTGTAGTTCAGGTTCCTTGCTAAGATAAATTTCTGACATTAACCATCGATCATGGGCTTATCTGTGTGACAGTGATCCTTCCTAAATATGACAGGAGCAGACAGGAAGAACATGCTGAGAGCTGGACTGTAGGCAATGCCTTCTTCTGGGATTGCTTGTGGGGTTTCTTCTTCCTGCAGTAATGAGACTGGAACTACCGGGCAGCATCTCTGTAATATGGGTTTGATTTTGCAAGTAATGCTGTGGAATAGCACCATTATTTTTGTCCACAGATTTTCAGAAAGGTGAGTTGTTAAATTTAGCATGGACAGGAGATCTGAATTTCTCATGGTGTCTTTTTGCCCCCAGAGACAAATTAACAAAAGCATTGGTAAGAATGATGCTTGGCAATGGGGAATTGCTGAGCTGTAAGGCACTTACAGATTTGACAAGTTGTGATTTAGCTGTGCTGCTTAATACATCTGGAAGGTGTATTGCCTCGAAATATTTAATGTATTTGTAATTAATTTTATACCTGTTGGCTAATTTGATTTAACAGTAGAAAGAAAGCAGTTTAACCTATTTCTTTTGGAATATACATTCCTTAAAAATCATTCAAATTTCTAAGAACCGTTTTTCCAAAGCTCTTTCAAAACCCTTTGTATCTGAGTGCCAGGTACAGGGGTAAATCTGCGCTGGCATCTGAACAGAGTCACTCACACCTACGACCTTTACAAGTGTTCTTTGGTACTCACACTGCCCCTGAAAGTACATCATTAACATTGTTTGTGTGCTCAAAGGTTTTCTAAGTTCTTGCTGCTTCTAATTAAATTATCATTATTTTTCTTTTGGCCTTCTTTTTTTCTTCCTTCACATGTACTTGACCCTCACACAGCTTTCACAAAGGAGGAGGACATGGAGAGGTTGAGTTCCACCCACCACTCCTCCTCTTCCATTGCTTCTTCATCCCACTGGTCACCACCCTTGCCGTGCCCCAGAGGCCGCTCCTGCTGCCAGTGCCTGCTGAGGAGTCTGATCACACTCTACCTCTTCATCTTTGTTTGTTCATATGTTGTGTTTCTTTCCATCAATTCAGCGGGCAAGTCCATGAGAAATGCAAACTCAGAGAGTCAATCGCTTGAGTCTGAGCTCTCCCACTCCACTCCTTCCTCTGTACTATGTAAGTTGAGAGACTCATCTGTCAGATGATCTCCTTTGTCTCTCCTCTTCCCTTCCCACCATCTGACAGAAGCTCAAAAAAGATCCATTTCTGTGATCTACCTGATCTAGGAATGACCTGTGCTTAGCCTTTACAAAAGTAAAATTTGTAGGTATTTTTTTCTTGTTATTAATTGTAAAAAATATTTTCATCAGCTGTAACTGCAGGATAAATATGTCTGCATTTCAGACAGCTGTATCTTGCAGGAGTAATCTTTGCAGTAGTTTTCAGCTTAGGGAGAGAGATTTGCCTCACCTCTGGCTTGGATCCTGCATAGGGCCTCAGCATTAATTACCTGTTACATTTATTATATTAAGTTCCTTTCTTGAGCATCCCCACTGATGAATCAGCCTTGAAGCTGCTGTGGCAGATGTTAACTTGCAGCATTGATAGGACAACTGGGAAATGTCCTCTTCTGCTCAGGAGATCTCTGATTTTTGGTGACCAACTGACAGTGAAGGAAATCTCCAGTGTTAAAATAGGAGAGGGGAAAGGCATATTGTAGATTGGTAGAATGTAAAAGACCTGGGTAGAGCATTTCTTGTTTGTAAATGAACTCAGAAATTCTTGAGAAATTCCTTGGAGGGGCGAGACCTTGTGAGTTGAAACAGGGAATGGCTTCCTGGGAATGAGGGTTCTGCTTGCCAGATTCTGATCCTGCAGCCAGTGTGTGTCCTGCAGGACAGTTGCACTGGTGCTAAGAATGGGAATTTGTACAGATAAAACTGAGATCCAGGCAGGCCCTTGGGAACATGGGCTGTGTGTTATTGGCCTGAACCTGATTTTAAACATGAGTGGAATTTCTGGTGGGGTCAGCTGGTGCAGGTGGGAGGAGCCAGTCCCAGGGGGATGGGCTGTCTGGTCACAGCTGCTGCCAGGTAATGCTGAAAGCCTGGCTTCATTCTGGGGGAGGAGCAGGATAGGCTCTATCAATGTATGGGTGAGTGTGTGTCAAACTAAAGTACAAATACTGCCAGCACAAACTGCCCAGAGCCAGGGAAAAGAGAGGCATTAACAGGAGATCTGGGCTGTGTAACACGGAGGGTTGGCACGTCAGTGCACGTGCCGTAAGGCTGTATTCCATCCGTGGTGCATACCCACACAATATCCTTTACGTGCCCAGCATTTCCAGATGTGAGTGCTGGCCATCTCACATGTCCAGTTTCTCTGAACTGGTTCAGTGATTAGACAGGAACACAGTTTAAATAGAAAAAACACAGCAGCAAAGCTTCTTAATGTCTCACTCATGAAGACTTCAGACACAATTTCTGGAGACAGCGGCCAGATTCCATGAAATTGTTGGGACACCATAGTGCAGTGTCTTGTAAGTGCAGCTTGGATCTGAGACTGTAGGTGATTTCTCATTAAAAAATAAACATTTGCCAACATTTACTATGCTGTATCAATATTAGTGTAATTTTTTAGTACAATCACATAAAGAGAGAGCATCTTCAGACATAATTGATTCCATATAAATAAAATATACTATGTATGGAATGTGACAAGTTACTTAACATTAATTGAAATAGACACATGAATTTTGTTGGATCTGTTGGATCTGTGTTGGATCTGTTGGATCTGTGTTGTCAGTACTGGAGTAGAAAAGCTCTAGGATAATTTTTCACATATTTGCCTACATAGCTAAAGAATTTAAATTTTTTTAGGGCAGTAGCAGGCTTACCAGTTTTCAGATAGGTGAGAGATACCAAATAACCCTGATAAAGTTCTGCAGATCATCCAACCATTTGATAATTGGATGAATCAGAGCAGTCTTTGCAATCAGCAGGCTCTAGAAAAAGATGCATGTGTGAGATGACAACTCAGATGCTTTAGTCCCTATCCAAGTTTAAGGTTCAGTGTGGGCTAAGAGATAAGCACTGGTGTTCTGTATGCTGAATCTTGATAAACTTCTTAAATGAGAAGTCCCCTGGAGCATGCCTTGTCATCTGATGGTCTAGGTGGGTTTTGTGTAGATCTGAGACCCAGTCAGTCATTTATTCATGCAGTCTGTTCTTTTATTTTCTTTTCAGAAATTATTTAGTTGGAAGCGGAGAATTTTCAAATATTGGTGTCACGAGAATCATTTGTAGGAACATTGTGTGATGTTCAGCAGTCCATGCTGTAAAGCTGAATGAAATCTGGTACATCCACACAGCCAGAAATTGTTATGCAACACAGGGTAAAATTTCTAGTATCTTCCTCTTTCTTTTCAGACTTTGGTTATTTCCCGAGGATAGAAATAACTTGACTGGCTGTGTGCTTTCCATCTAACTGGTGTTTGTTGGGACAGTGTTCACATGGGAAGTGAAGCCAGGTTCCCCCTGCTCTGCCATTCCATTTTAGCAGGCCACTGTCACCTCAATAGCAACTGTCCTGTTTTAAAGCAACAGCACAACAGGGAGGATTTGTCCCCCCGGATTTAACCCTCCTCCACAGTGTAGATGTCTGAGTTTGAGCTGGTTGTCTAGACTCTCTTCAGCCAATGCAGATAGGTCAGATGAGTCACACTTGTCTTAAAAATCTATTTTAGGATATGATGAATTGTGCCCTCAAAGTGCTGATTTCTCTCCCTTGACTGTAAGGGAGGGGAGTTGAGAGAACAAACTCACTTGTCTGTACTTATATGTGTCCAAAATGTTGTGAGATTAATCCAATCTGAGGTGTACAGAGATACGTAGTTTAAAGTACCCAGTTGAAAAGTTTTAAGAGTTTTTGCCTTGAGAAACAACATGTGAGCAAGTCAAAAGCAAAATCATTTTAATCATCTCAAAGTGCATGTGCAAATCTGGAGCAAGGTTACCCTGTTCTTCTGGGAAGGTGCTTCTCTGCTTAGGGATTGCAGTGCAGTGGTGACACAGGCAGGCATCTGGAGGGCTGATGGCAGGAGAAGGATGTTCCAATATCTGTGTGAAGCACAAAGTGGTTTAAATTACTGTTTTCACTGGTGTCAGTTTTGAAAAAAATGATGGGTAATATGGTGGCCAGTGAGTTACAAGTGCTCTTTTTTTTGTGTGTCAAAAAAAACATGAAGTTTCAGGTTCAGATATTTCTGAAGGCATCACTTTCACATATCTACAGCTCATTTTTATACTGCATGTTCTCTCTGCAATCAAAATATCAAAATACCAAAATATCTGTCATTTCTGTGTGATTCTTGTAGATTGGGTTTATAAATATTTCTTGGGGCTACAGGAGGGGAAGAAAAGCCAGACTTCCCTGCTGGAAAAACAGTTTTTGCTGCTATTTTTTGCTTTTTTTCCTGTGATATTTGATTTCACTACCTGGGGAACTGCTCCTTGTAGGTTGAAAGTATTGATAGTGTTAGATGCTTTTTGCTTAAAAGGTGTTTCTCCTCATTTTATATTGTTTAGATCTTAGTGTTAATGATGGTCTTTAATTTAGAAAGATTATCGCTCACCCTGTAGCTGAGCAAGGAAAAGAGGTAGTGCAATATAACTAGAGATTAATGACTCATTTAAAGTTAACATATGTGCTGCAGCAATGCTGAAGAAAACATCTTAGCCACTGATTGGAAATGTTCATGTTTGTTCTTTTTCTTATTTTTTTGTCTTTTTATAGCTCCTTTTCATAATATTTCTGTTTCAACTGCCTTTGTCTTAGTCATATACCTACTCACTTGCCAAAGTAGGGGGTTTATTTTTTTTTAGCTGCTAAACCCCTATTAATTACCTTAACTCCTTCACCCTGCGGGGGAAAAGGTGTTGTTTAAGGAACAGGTCCATGGTCTTTTCTGCCATGTATTTACTTCCCCCATATTCTGAGCAAGGAATGTCAAAGCCATCATCTTCTCCATACAAGCTTGCTATGTCTGCAGTCTTTCCTTCTTGGTTTTCAGGAAAATGGCTCAGCACCTTTGACTTGTCAACAGTGTTCTTCCCTCACACCTTAGTTGTTTTAAAGACAGCAGGTGTGTTTTTGTTCAGTTATCTTTTGTGTACAGAATACATATATTACGCTATGGAAAACCACTGTCATATTCTAAAAAACTATAGGTGGGTCAAGGCTTCACTTTTTGAACTGACTTTGACCACACTTTGTGGAAAAAGTAGCTGAACCAGTTTTATCAGAATCTCATTACAGCTGTCAGTTTTGTTTAGGAAGTTTAGTTGCTGTAGTTTTATTTAGGGAGTCCTGACTGCACATCAAATGAAAAGTATAATAGCATGAAATTGCCACTGTACATCAAACAGCATAATTGTCCTAGAATTCAATACAAGCCAAGTTTACTATTGGATAAAAAAATAAATAATGAAAAAGTCAAATGCAAATGGTGATTGTAAGTGACAGTTATCTGGCAGATGGGAACTGGCCAGATGCCTCTTCCCTAATGCCTTGTGTTGTCCTTGTGTAGTTTGGAGTGTGTATTTAGATGGAAAAAAAAATTGGAGTGATCAAAGAGCACATGTTATGTGGAGTCCATCAGACTCAGAGTGAAAATTTGGTAATTTTCTTACCACTCTAAGAGGTGCCAATTATTTGTGTCAGTTGCTGTCTGCAATAGCAGGGCACTGTTCATACCAATACCATTTCACCTTAGTTTGTGTCCAGTGCCCTTCCTGTTTCATCCTTTGCACTAAGGGGAAGTGCAGGGCTTTGACTTGATGCACATGGCCACCAAGGCACAGCTGTATTTTCCTTCTGCTGCTCTCCAGTCTTCTTCCAATTCTCTACTTGTTATATTTCTGTTTTTCCATCTTTTTTCCCTTCCTTACTTCCTTTCAGGTTAAACCTCTGCTTCAACAACAATGAAGCAGTAACACTTTTGGTCTCTGTCTGTAGTTGGGCTCCCTGCACCCCCACAAATACCCACATGAGAAGGCATAAAAGCTACAAACAATGAGGAGGAGGCTTGTGTAAAAGCACAGTGGCTCCTGAGTATTTGAGTTGGTCTTGATGTCTGCTGTTATTTCACACTGCCTTGTTCTTGTATTGAGTAAGGGCTAGGAACGAGGCAGAGAATTTTGCATGATAGGATAAATCATTTCTGGAGCTCCTCTCTCTGAGCTGTGCCCCACCTCTCCCTTTGGCTCACTGCCAGTGAAAGTGCATATCAGATCACCAAATAGGAAGAAATGTAATTTTCTAATAGGTGTAATTGCGTGTCACTGAAAGGTGAGAGTAGCAATGTGGCTTTCATAATTTCATGTAATGCTTGTAATTTTGTTGGGAAATTGAGGACTGAGTTGAAAGGCAGATGATTTGGCAACATCTTCCTGTTCCTGACAAGTCTGCATTGGGAGCTGTGAAGTCTTTCTACAAATGCTGACACCAGTGCTGGCGTTGGATGGTGATTGATTGGAGCCAGTGATAAGTGCTGTAATCTCCTTTGCTGGCCTCTGGAACTTCCTCATGGATGTATTTCATATCCCATGGATACATCTGCAGACACAGCTCCCCTGAGTGTTAGTACAGCCCAGACAGACTTTGCTGCAACCCCATTATGTAATATAAGGTGGCTTCTGTCAGAAAGCTTCATGAAAACATAGGTTCCACTGCAATTTCGTTTTGGAGCTAAAACCAGGAAAACCAGCAATTTGGCCACAGAGTTCAATTTCTTCCTTCTGGGGTTGATGTGGAATTATATCTTGTGTATCTCAGCATCAAAGGTACTGTGGTAAAACTCTGCAAAAGCGTGACTGATGTTAGTGGAAAAGGGAATGTTGCCAACTTTCTTGAGCCAAGTGATGATAAATTATGTGTCCATGTGGTTTTGTGCCTCTCGTGTGTGGAAACTGCAGTACCATTGTAGACATACTAATTGCTTATATCATTATCCACTGGCACGAGCTCATGATCATGTAGCAACTGATCAGAGATTTTTACCTCATTTCCCACTGATTTAATGGTCTGTAATTTCCTTGTCTCTGATTGAGATGTGTTACTGGGTTATTTAATGAAATCCTTTAGTTCAGCTATATGGATGTGAGATGTTGTGTGCAGAACTGGCAATTTCCTCACTGCCCGAGGTCTGCTTGTTCTGGATCTCTTTTTTTGCCAGCCTTCTGTAAAGACTGCACCATTATTTCTGACTCAGCCATCCCACCACTTGGCTGGTGCTGGCAATGCCATGCCGTGTCCACACAGTCTGGCCCATGTTGTTTAAACTGATGATAATGGAGGCATTGCTGCTCTCTTCATTGAAAAGTCTTTATTCTTTCCACAATCCTTGTGAAAAATAAGGCAATTCATACTTGAGATGCTCTTAGCTGCAGTGCTAACAGTCAAGAGCTGCTCAAAAAAAGCCTTGGTAGACCTTTATATCCATTTTTTTCACCATCACATTTTTCCTTGCTGGTTTCTTTTGGTCCTTTTCATCTGAGTGCTTTAGGTGTGCACTAACGAGAAGGTTAACACCAGTGTCAGTTCTGAGCACAGCATTGGCAAGTTAATTTCTCTGTGTGCTCCCCAGCATTTTCTTTTGAAGAAGAATGTGATTTCTGTCTGCACTTTTGGTTTTAACATTCCAGGCATGTTTTTGTTAATGGTCAAATCCATGTGTGGGAGTGTGCTGTACAACTCTTGTGTGCACAACAGAGCTACTCCAGCCAGATTGGCTGTAAAACAGTAATCAGCTTCCTTGAGTTTGGAGTCTAGAGCTGGGGCTTGGTTTGTTTTGCTTTTTAAACAGCAGATCCTCCAGTGAAGGAAAGATAATTACAAGTGTGATAGGGAAGTGGATTGATCTTGACGTGTGTTTAATTTCCTCGTGGATACAGGAGTGCACTGAAGGCAAATCAGTGTAAAGCAGCAATGTAACATCATGTCCTTTGGTTGTAGAAAGGAAGAGAGGTGGTGTTGTGCCAGCTGGGGAGTGACAGAATACCTGTCAGCTGTCACCTTCCACTTTGCCTTCCCCTGTAAGATTGGGTTTGTGTCTCTCCCCAGCTCGTAAGCAGGAGATTATCAAGGTGACTGAGCAGTTGATTGAAGCCATCAACAACGGGGACTTCGAAGCTTACACGTAAGCTCCTCCTTTGGAGGGACTGAGGGCAGCTGGGGTATTTGACAATGTCTGTGTAAATGTGCATGAGTATATGTGAGTGCCTGTGCTTGGAGTTATATACTGTTGAAATGCCTTCCCAGATGCCCCCACAAAACACAAGATATGTGCATGGCTGCTTTTCTCTGCTTCACACATCACCAGTTTCAGAGGAGCTGCTAGTATAACTCCAGTGTAGTTAGAAGAAAATATTTAAATCTGCCTAACATAATGATGTGAGGCATAAAAAAATATCCCCTGCATTGCACAGCTGCCATTTTCATCGTCACAAGTAAAAATTCCTGCTTGTAGTAACACTGACTTGTGGGTCTTTTTTTGGTCCAAACGTGATTTATATGAAGTGTGGTCCACTTAAAGTAAGCTGCCAAATTTACTAATCGAGCTGAAACCAGAGCTCTATTCCTGCTCCTCATGTTGAGTTCTGTTCTTTTCCAGTGTGATGGCATGAATGTGAAATGTTCCTGTCGAGCAGTTCACCTTCACCTTCCAGTGTGAAGGTGAAACATTCGATAGGAATGAAGGAAACAATTAAAAATGATCTCTCCAAAGCGGTGATCCCTAACCACGTGTGCTCATTGCAGAATTTCCTCTTTTCCATAGAAAAATCTGTGATCCAGGCCTTACGTCTTTCGAACCTGAAGCTTTGGGTAATCTGGTAGAAGGGATGGACTTCCACCGGTTTTACTTCGAAAATGGTAAATAATCCATTTTCACCTCCGAGTCTTCATCTGTTCCTTGTAGCTGCGTGTCTCTCATCTAATGAGCTTTTTGGTTTGGGAGTTAGTTAATTGACTTGGGCAGGGGAAGGGACTATTGTTTTTTTCAGAGTTCTGCTATAGGTGTTTTTCAGTCTGCCTCTGCTCCGCTCATTCACACATCACAGGGCATCTCAAAGGGCAGAGGAGAGTTTCAGGTATTTGGAACTAAAAAGTCAAAGAAAAGGAGTTAAGAGCTGAATTATTTTAACTGAATATACTGGGTACAATGTCATTAGACGTAACAGGGAAACTGAAATGTTGGGAAACTCCTGGTGGTGCCCTCCGCTTTATTTAATCCATATATGTACATGGATTAAACATATTTGCTTATTAAATAGTGTATAGTAAGTGATTGTGCTCGTTCTGTGAAGTATTTTAGTGGGAGGTGTGATTATCATAAAACCCTGGTTACGATTTTGTATCTGCTAAGCCCGAGATTTTTGTGTGTAAAACAGTTTGGCATGAGTTCTTATGGCTTACCCGGAGCAAATGTGGTTTCTCCTGTGCGTGTGTGTCTCGTAGCTCTGTCCAAAAGCAACAAGCCCATCCACACGATCATCCTGAACCCTCACGTGCACCTGGTGGGCGAGGACGCGGCGTGCATCGCGTACATCCGCCTGACGCAGTACATGGACGGCAGCGGCATGCCAAAGACTATGCAGTCCGAGGAGACGCGCGTGTGGCACCGGCGCGACGGCAAGTGGCAGAACGTGCACTTCCACCGCTCGGGCTCGCCCACCGTACCCATCAAGTAAGGAACAGCCCCGCCACCAGCTCACACCACGTAGTCCAATAGCTGCTTTGGGCCTTAAAAGCTGAGAGCCGTCCTCTGGTAGTGTCACTTTTTGTGGTCGTTCATTATGTGTTATACCCACTGCTGTGCGTAGCGTTGGTGAGAAGATTTCTAAAATAACGCGCTTTTTTGGGTGTTGTTTTCTACTGTGATGCCCACCGATCCAGCTCGCTCCCTGAAGTGACAGCTTGAAGAGCAGGAAAGTGTTTTAATGTAGAGAAAGCTTGATAGAAGTTACACAAAACAGGATTAGAAAACCTGGAATACAATTGCCTGAAAACCTGGGAAAATAAAAAGCAGTAGGATACATGGAGCTGTCAGAGCTAACCAGAAAGTTTCAAGTAAAATGTGTCACTCTTGGGAAAAACTTCAGTTTGACTAATAGTTAGTGTGATTTCCAGCCACCTCTACTTTCCCAGACCTAGGTATGTTCTCTGCAAGTTGGGTTTGAGCCAGTTCACACATTTACCTTGTAAATTGAGCCATCCCGGTCCCTCTCACGTTCTTATCTCTTTCCCCACACTCTCTGTGTGTAACTGCTGAGTATTCCTTGTTGGGCAGTTCTGACATCCCCATGGGGCAGCCTCGCCTCTCTCCTGTCAGCATTTCTCTCTGCTGTTCATCCAGGCCCTGCCACACCCTCAGGGTCAGGTAGTGAGCGAGTTCCTTGAGCCACCTTGTCACCAGGGTTAATGACAGCACACTCGGGCTTGCAATAACAAAATAAAGAGTCACGGCTTGCTCAGGAGGTTCTGCTCGGGCCATGGGCTTCTCCTCTTCTTCAACAGCCTCTGCTAATGAGCCCAAACCTCAGTGACTTGTGGTTTCCCAAATAGGCAGCACTGGTGCAGGCCTGGCTTTGTGCAGTTGTGAGCCCTCTGTATAGGATACAATTCCATTTGTGTCAGGTGTCTTAAGGTGGACAGTGGCTGAATTTCCTGGCATGGATGGTAAGGGCTTAGATTCCATCTTTTGAACCATCATGTCTCATATTTTGCTCCTTGCAACACTGTCCTCCTATATGAAATAATACTTGACAAAGTAAGAAATAAGGTAGAATGAAGTGTTAAACTTCCATGGTGATGATTTTGTATTATTTTATTATTTAGGAAAAATTGTATTTTATTACTTAGTTATCACTGTTTTCTTTCAAAATGTGAAACCAATGGGAACAGGAGCCACATGTCCTTTGTTTCTCGCATTCCAGTAGCACTGCCAGTGTTTCAACAGATAGTATTCAAAGAGCAGTTACTCTTCCTTGAAATGCAGGTTTAGGTAAATCTTTGAGGTTTTCATAAAGGAGTGTTTGTCAAGGGATCTGAGCTGGGTGTGTGTAGGGCCAGAAAACCCAAGTGAAGCAGGTTCACCTGGCCCACTGCACCCTGAACAGTCAGTGTTTACAGTACAATGACCTGAAGTGGGCTAGAGAATCATTTAATCTTTTCCTCTGGTTTTTTTTTTTTCCACCTTTGTCTTTTTGGGAAGGTACTGCTGGAGGTCCTTTGTGTCTGCTTGTGCTCTCTAATAAACATAAGAGTTTCTGGGACCGCCAAGGGTGGAAGGAGAATAAAAATCACCATGGAGTAATTTTTTTGCAGTTGCAGGGTGGTTAATGTATCTTTTGTATCTAATGAATCTTTTGAGCCAGTGGGGTCAGACAGTGGAGGTTTCAGGATTGTGAGGGGTGTCCAAGCTTAAGGAGTCACAGAAGAGCCTTAGAGCCAGACTGAGGCTTAAGGGGAGATTCCCTGAGTTAACAACGTTAGCCCTATGTGTGTAGCACTGGCAACATTAAATCCCATACCTAGCTCTCATCTTGATTTCAGGGGAGGTTTTTGGACTTGCTCCTAGCACTGTTCCAAAATGTCATCGGTCTGATGGTTAGGAGTCTTGCTTTCCATTGTGAAATTTGGTCATCTTCAGTGTGTCCTTGGTTCTTCCATGTCATCGTTGTTCTCCTGCACTGGAGTTGGTGTCTGTGTGCAGACATGAAGTGGTTTGTAGGAAGGCTGATCAGATCGTTCCCACCTTCTACTTCCATAGGGTAAACAGCCAGCGCTACCTCAGATGGCTTTGTCTGATAGGATCTCCATTTTCCTATTGCCTTATCTCCTTACTGTCTTTTTTTGTTTGAGGTTTGCCTTTCCATTAGCTTGTCTTCTTCTGAAATGCTCTGTCCAGTTGTGGTCAGGGCTTTATTTAATTCCCCAACATCTTCTCCCTGCTCTGTTCTCGCACGATTTTTGCACTTTTCTCATCTGCAGTGCATCTGAGACAGCCACCTATTTATCCTCAACTCTCATTTCCAGCCAGTGGGTACATAGAAACTTTCACAGAGCTTAGCACTTCCTATTATTCCCTGTAATATTTTTGGATTACCCAGCCCTCAAGGTTGTTTGGTTCTCCTTGCACAATGCTCCTGTTTTCTTTTCTTTTTATAGTGCCTTCCACCTAAGTGTCAGTATGCTACGTGAGATGAGTCCTACTGCTTGTGCTCAGCACTAGGGAGGCTCCTCTAGGCTGGTAACTCCCTTTGGAGTTACATGGTCATTCTTTCTTTATTCCCATCTTCTAAAAGTCTGACTGGGAGATTCCCATGTAGCACCAAGCTACACCCATCTTCTTCTATAACCTGTCCTGAACATTTTTACACTGTCTCATATTTCACCTTTGCTTTTCCCAGGCAGAGCAGCAATAACTCCGTTTTGGAAAACTAAAGGAACTTAATTAGCTTATTGTTCCAGTTCCTTTATTTGAAGTGTATACAGTCTACAGCTACTTATTTAATTATTACCAATGCACAGTAGTTAATAATGGTGTTTCCATAATAAAGTATTTTACACATCGTGTCTGAGGATGAATTTCAAATCTAATTAAGTTGCAAAAACGATGATAGCTGTGATCTGCTAGACATGGTATCCTAGATGGTGTGAAACCAGTTGCTGCAAGCAGAGTAGTTTCCTTGTTTTCAGGAAGGAGTGTGCATAAGTCTTAAGGACAGAACTGAGCTCTTTGGTAGCTATAGGTATAGGGAAATGTTTCCTTGTGGCAGAGAACTTACTTGAAAAAGGATATGAGCACAAATATGTGTTTAGTTTAGAAATAAACTTTTTATTTATAAAAAACAAAAAAATTTTGATGGTTTTGCTGTGAGTGAGATGGGACAAACTTGGGTTTCTGTCTCGTCCATGGTTTCTCCCTTAGTGATAGGAGTGACAGTAGGAAATTGTTCTCTGTATCCATGTTTTTAGTGACCTGTGCTGATGTGTTTCTGCAGAGCTGTCTGCTTGTCCTCAGAGACTGTACTGCCCAATATGGGCAGTCAAAGGGCTGCTGGGCCTAAAAGTGACTCCCTAACCTAACTTCAGCCTCAACGAGGCTTATGTTCCCTCCCTGGTCACTGCTCACACCTTCTTGTACTTTGCTAAGTGCAGTGCCAGAGAGCAGGAATGCAGAGTAAAGAGTTTGTTCTGTGTTTGTGCAGTGCCTAGCGCAGAGGGATCCCACCACGGCTCCAGCCCCTAGATGCTACGGTAATACAAATGATGCTACAACCTCAGTTAGCTACATACTTGCTTGCAGCTCCTTTCCCTTCCTTCTCTCTCTGCATACAGCTCTGGCATGTCTTGCATGTGAATGACACCTGATTCTTCATTGTCACTTAGTCCAGTCTTTGTACAAGGGCCTCAGTCCATGGCAGTGCCTGTGATGTCCATGCTGAGGAAGTTAAGTTACACCCAGAGATTCACGGCTGAATTCTACTCTCCCTCCCTTAAGGAATCCCTTAAGACACTTTGGCTTCCTGCCTCAGTTTTCTTTTTTATTTTCACAGCCTCTCTGGCATCCTGTAAAGATGGAAAATGTCTGTCAAGTGGTTTGAAAAATAAAAGGATGCTTTTCCTGAGTGGAGGTTTTTTCCCTTGTTTTTTCCCCGGTATCTCATGTTTAGTGATCTTAACAAGATGGGTTTTTTCAATAATATTGGCTAACACTTGAGCATGTGTTGTTATCTGGTGGTGATGTTACCTCAGTAATGGAAATCTGTTTGTTTTTTTTCTCCTTCCTCCTAGCTAAAAATATCAGCGGTGCCGCTCTTGCATTTTCTGTACCCAACGCACCTGGTTGATTACCATCTTGGCCATCCCGTTCTCTTCATGCATGTTTCTGAGTGCATGAAGTTGTGAAGGTTCTTCATGTAACACATTTGTGATGCACCACGTTGCTGTATATTCCATCTGTACACTGTTAACATTTCAATGAAGGTGATGTTCCATGCAAATAGAGAATAACAAGGTGTAAAAGACAAAAAAGAGATATTGGATGGACAGCAGTAGACACACGATACATTTGTCACTTGCTCCATTTATGCCAAGTTTTGACAAACAACTTTAAAATCTTAACGCGTTTATTAAAAAAAAAAAGAAAAAAAAAAAGAAAAAGTATGTTTTACCTTCTTTTTTTAAGAACTGTTTTTTGACTCCTCCTTTTCTCCTGAGTCCCAGGATTTTGCTTTGGTTCTGGTAGGAATGGTTAGGATTTCCGCTGGCAGCTCCATTACTGTAAAACAGATTTTTATCCTAGATGGACAAAATCACTGATAAATGGGGAAGTGTTAATATCTTGGCTTTGGACCAGCTGCAGCCTTCTTAGTTTATTAGTCGATGTAAACTGGAAAAATCTCCTCATTTGCTGGCCTGGCCACTCCAGAATTAAGTGTCAGTGTTCTGGTGAGTCAGCAGCTTCCGTTTTCCTTTTGAGTCCTTTTCGCTTTCTTATTTTGCTTAACTGAACGATTCTGTTGGATGATTAAGCAAAATTAAAAATTGTAAGGAACTAAGTGATAATTGAGAGACAGTTTTTGAGGATTAAAATGGAAGGAAAGAGAAAGATTTTTATCGCTTTTAGGATGTACTGTAAATTTTTTAAGGAGGCTTTAAAAAATATAATATGTGGGTTAATGTATAGACCAGTTGTGTGGATAATATACTTAAGAAATATTAGGCCTTAAAGCGAAGTATGAAGAGTTTACTTACATTACACTGCTGCTGTTGCTGCTCTGGAAATGAATTATGGAGACACCGGTTTTCCGTGGGACCCTAACACTTTACCACAGGTTTGTGTGTCCCCCTCTTGCCCTCAATCCGCTCGTGGTTTCTCAAGCTCCCCTGGCAGCATTCAGTAATGCTGCTGGGCTTGTCCCAGCTCCAGGCTGAGGGAGGAACGCTGTGCTGGCAGCATGGAGCACAAACTTTGCAACAGGGACTAGTTCTCCTTCCCTCACCTTGCTGTAAAAATACACCCGCGCAGGAATTTCAGTTTCTTCCCTCCCGCTGTTCCAGGGAAGCCCAGGCTGGGCTGCTCCTGTTCTCCCTGTGGTTCTGTTAGCAGCAGGCTCCTGCTCCCTGCAGCGCTGTACAGTGCATGGTATCTGAGTCAGTGTCCTTTTCAGCCCTCCAAAATTTACAACTCGGCAGCCGTAACTTTTTAAAATGGGAAAGCTTCCTAATTTGTATCATTTCACCTTTCTGTGTTGATTACTAATCAGAAGCAGTTCTTAAACATGTTGATGTTGTTACTAGTGGATGTATGGTAGATGGACTTAAGCTTCTCTGATAATTACTACATGATTTTAAACAATATATATTTAAAGTAAGCATCTACAATAAATGTGTTGAGCCATATTAACCTGCCAATGGGATCTGTGAAAAAAGTAATGGCCTCATTTTTTTCTCATTAATTTCTTTTCCTTTTTTTTTCTCTTTTTTTTCTTTTTTTTTTCCTTTTTTTTTTTTTTTTTTTTTTTTTTTTTTTTTTGTGAAGCGGCTATAAGTGGCATAACTGTATTTAAAATTAACAAATTAGGTGTAGGGTGTTTTTTTATACTTCTATCATAGCATGTGGTGTTGATGTATTACTGTAGACCAAGTTTGTCTTCCACACCAAGACGTGAGGAACTTGTGATTTGTTCTCTCCACCACGACTGAATTATACACTTCTGTCATTTTGGAACACTGCAGTTTACCATGGGACACAGTGTACATATTTCTTGCCATAATGGTAAATGATTGATATATTTAAGGATTAATAAATTTGTGATTTCTGCTGACATTGTGCTTGTGTTTTAATTTCCCAATTGCTTGTGATTTTTGCAGTGGAAAATATGTAGTGTCTGTTTGAATTAAGACACCAGAGGTGCAGATGCACTTCCTAAGGAGCTGAATTTTCGGTTTGAAAATACAAGTGTTTGCTGTTGTGGTTTTTCCTTTGGTTGGTTCCTGAGTGCCTTTCCTGGGGCTGATGGCACACTGCTGGTGCTCTGCTTTGGTGGTGGACTCTGCACATACCTTGTGCTCGTAGGGCCATATTTAGAAATGTTTTAGGTAGTTCCAACATTTCTGTTGCTGCCTTGCTGTATTTCATATATGTACACTCAGCCTGTAACACGAGGCTCTATAAGAGCAGTTATTGTATGCTATATAATGCATAAAATATATGTAGGAATATAAAAACATACATATAGCAATATAAAACACATTTACCTCTGGAAATAATTAGGATTTGAAATAACCTACCAGTTTAAAAGCTTAGATATATGTCTGTAGTGATTTCAGGCTGTCTTAAACCATGCTGAGCCACAACTGAGGACAGTCTTTTATACCAGCAGAAAAAAAGAAGGACGAAGGAGAGGAAACAACTTGCAGCTTTCCTGGGTCAGGGAATGCAGAGCTGGACCGGGGCCAAGGCAGCGTAGCTGGAGCAGCGGCGTTGGCGTGGCAGGTAGCCAGAGCCTGTCCTGGGTTGGTCACCATTCCAGTGCTTCTTCTTGGGTGGCATTTTGTAAGCAAAAAAAGGTAGTCAGGAGAGCACTCAGGGGATTGGAATTTTTCACTAAACCCCAGAAGGAGCAAAAGCTCTTTAGTCTGTTGGGAGGTATCATATTTTGTCATATCGCTTTTACCTACTTCTTTTGTTCATTTTTTTTCCAGTGAATGCTATTCCAGAAATCAGTTTGATTTCCATTTTAACCATGCTCCTGCATAAAGCTGTTTGACAGCAGTGGAATTGCTACTGATTTCAGGTATGCAGAGAAGAGTGATCAGTGGATAAAGCAAAATGTTCAGCAGGGGGCTGGGAGAACACATTTCCTCCATATCAGGCTGAATATTTGGGAGAGCAGCAGGGTTTGGGGGCTGGTTTGGGGTTTCTTAATGGTTGTTGTTTTATCACACTAAAATATTTTAATCTGCTGCCTCCTGGTGGCTTTGTGATACTGTTTTCTGTTTAGGAGTGTACCAGAAGAGGCTGTTTGTTCTGAGCAGAAGGGAGCTCAGTGCTTTCATTTATGCATTTTTTAATGTAAGTAAGGAACACGATATTTCAGGGCCTGAAAATTACCATTTCCTGGATCTTGCACCCTATACATACACCTGAAGTAATCAGATTGATTCTGTTGTCTAAAAATGGCCTCCCAGGACACATTCAAGAAAAGTAACATCTCCTAGGGCTGTGTATTAAATCTGGAGTTCATTGTGTCTAGGATTAACTTTGCTGTTTCTTCAATTTATCATCTCGTTGGGCTATTCTCTCAGAAAACAGAATTGCTTCTTGTTTCTCAGGGCTTTTCTTTCTTCTTAAATTACTGCAGTCATACTTTATACATAATCCATCATAGGAAAACACCATTAGGAAAAGAATTAACTGTAGTCATTGAGGAATTGATCCAAATTGCTTCAGGAGTTTCAGCTTCTTTATTCCTTACAGATCATCACTAAAAGACCAGTGGGTGGGCTGTGGTTCAGTGCTGTGAGGTCTGGCTGCTGAATCCATTGTTCTTGCAGGGAGAGCCGTGGGCTGACACCCCTGTACAGGAGTGTAGGGAGGTTTGGATCCTCCCAGAAGGGGAGGTTTAGTAACTCTGCAGCCTCTCCAGGCCTCACAGGAAAGGAAGGCTATACAGAGTAGACCAGAAGCCTTCTCTCCTTTCCCCTCCCTCTCTAGCAGAGATCCCTGTGGCTGAGCAGGGCAGGTCGCAGGATCTGCTTCCAAGGCAGCTCGCATGTGGAAAGAGGCAGGAATTCTGTGTGCTCACATGCTGCAGAACAGCAGTGCCAGGGCTGCCTGTTCCAGCATGTGCTTGTCCAGACATATCCCAGGCCAAAGGCACTGCAGACAGTAAGTTTGGGGAAGAGGAGAACATTTAATCGGAGGGTGGGACGAAGAATATCAGTGCAAAAAAAACCAAAACAAGACAAGCTGATAGAAAACAGCGTGTCCAAGGCAAAGAGATAGAAGAGCACTATTTCTGTGTTACAGAAATGTCACATTCTTTCTTCAAAGCTGTTTCCAGAACCCAGCTGCAGGGCTGGATCATCTTAGGATCTAACTGGGAATTAGGCCCATATAACCTTTTTCATCACAGTGGCCTCTGACTAGTTAACAGAGTTAAATGGCTAAATGTGGCAAGTGGTTGAGACAGGGCTGCTTCCTTAAAATAGCAAGGGCTGAGTGTGCGTAGCCACCCTCTGAAAAGTTGTGTTTAATTGCAGCACGGCATTTTTCAGGAATCTGACACACCTTACTACAGCCAAGGGCCTTGCTCTTTCTTCTGCTATCCTCTGAAGTCAGCCTATATTGGAAAGGTGCTGTTTCATGTCAGGGCAGGACTGGCAGCAGTGTCTGTCACCAAGTCCCCTGCTCACTGTCAGGTAATTCCCAGGAGCCAGTTAGCTGGTGCAGGGAGGAGGGGAGTATTAATTCATGAATACACAGCCACTGCACTGGGAGAGAGTTCATGGCAAACAGAACGGCCCTGGGGAAGAACAGGCTGCTCAGCTCTCTCACCACTCCTTTTCCCACCCTGCTGAGGCATCCAGGGCTGGCTCTCAGAGAGGACAGCTGCCCAGGGTGGTGACGCTCACAGGACCTTGAATAACAACATCAGGGGACCCTGCTAGCAACAGCCAGCCTGAGAGTAGAGGTAAGAGCCTGCCTTTGGGAGCCACACAGCTCATTTGATAAAGGTATTGCTGAACATTGGTGCCTAAACACAATCAAACCCTTAGTAGGGATGTAGAAGAGAGTGCTCCCAAGCACCCACCTGTGTCATGTTAGAGCAAGGCATGAACTGAATTAAACCTCATCCAGAGCTGTTGTTGTGTCCTGTGCACCAAGGAGAGGTAAGTACCAAAGTCAGAAGCAAGACTTCAGTTTAAGGTACTTGGGTAAGCTCCTCAGACAAAACAGGCACCTGAACATCTACCTAAAAAAAAGTGATTTTTTTGGGTTTTTTCTGAACAAAACTTTTTGGAGAGTAAAGCGCAAAAGTGGGGCCATGCCAAAATTTGCCTGCCTTGTTCATTGTAGCAAATAGAGTTATGGAAACCTTCATGAATGAATGAAGTTTCTCAAGTGGATACCTCAGTTCCAAGCAAGTCTTTATAAAGGAAAAAAACCACAAACATAATGAGTAAGTATGTTTGAAAATTCTTGTTTATATCCCACTATGTTTACAAAATTCTGAATCACCAAGCCACTGGACCACCCAACCAAGATAGAGACAATCAGAAGTTGTAAAGGTGCACATTTTTTTTCCAGTGGCTCAAATCAATCCTCCACCAACACAGGAAGGCTTATGGAATTTAACCTTATGGACATTTGCACTGTCATATGGGTATTTTTTGATGGAAAGTAGGTACTTTTAAATAATATAATGTAGTAAATAAGAAAGATGGTTTATTAATTTGGAAATTGGTTGGAAAGGAGATTAGTGACAGATAATATATGTTATAGGTAATTGACAGCTTTGCATTCTTCTCTTGTAGCAGCTTCCATGTGAAACCCCCACAGACAGCAGTCCATAAATCACAAAGTAACAGAATGTTTGGGGTTGGAAGGGACTTCTGGGGATCCTCTAGTCCAGCCCCCTGCTAAAAGCAGATTTCACAGGGTGATGTCCAGGCAGAGTTGGACATCTCCAGAGGAGACTCCACAGACTCTCGGGACAGCTCCTGCCAGTGCTCTGTCTTCCACAGAGGCCCTTGCCAGCAGGTCAGGCCCTCACCTGCATGGGGTTATTCTTCCTGAGCTGCAGGACCCCACACTTGCTCTTGTTGAGCTTCCCTGGGTTCCTCTCCAGCCTGTCCAGGTCTGGCTGAATGGCAGCACAGCCTGCTGGCCTGCCCTTTTGGAAAACTGGGGTGACATTGGCTTTCCTCCATTCCTTCTCTTCTCCATGACCTTTCAAAGACAGACCTAATCAAAGGTAAATCTAAGCTTACTGAAAAGTTATTCTAAACAGGATTTTGGATACAGTAGAGCACCTTTACTTACAGTAAGAGGAATTGGTAGCATGGCCAGCCTTTTGTTTGCAGGATTTGTTTCTGATCCTCTGAGTGGCCTTGGGCTGCCTGGAGGATATGGTGTAGGTCTGTGCACTTGTGGCTGATGTGGCAATTCCCATTTCCAGCCCTTCCTTGCTATTCTTTGTGTGGATAATGATCACATCGTCTCTGAACCCTGGAGAACCAGTGGTTTCCAGGGTTCTGTGGCAATGAACAAAATTACCTTCTATGAAAACTTAGATATGCTCCATGTAAGTATTTTGAAGAACCTGGGAATGTTAACTACTCTCCAGCATCTGAGAGGGTGTTGCACATGTGAGGTCTGGTTTTGGAGGCACCATTTCAGTCTCCTGTTGGGACCAAAGAACTGTGTATAAATAGTTAAATTCTCTGTGGTGGAGCCAAATAAGCACAGCAGCAGTAGGCTGATTTCAGGACCTGGATTTAGATTCACTGTCAGGGATCTGTGAGATGTGAGTAGGAGGTTTTGGTCTTCTGCATTCAGGCCAGGAATCTTAGCAAGCGTTCCTTGTGCAAGGTCAGTGCCATAACCTCTGAGTGACTATCTGAGACAGTTTTTGTCCATTTTCCCACTGAAAAATAAGCAGGGAAGGATCTGTTTTTTGTTTGGTTGCAGTTTTCTAAAAATGGTCAAAATCTGCCTGACAACAGCAGGAAGGATCCCTTTCCCTCCTTATATGTCAAGCAAAGGTGCCCCAAAGGCTTAAAAATGTCAGGGACTAATTAACACAAAGCTGAGAGCAAG